ACCTACATCTTAGATGCCCTCGAAAGTAAGCTAAAACATATCAAAAATTAATTTCAAAGTGAACTATTCCTTTAACTACATACAATTCTATAAATATATAATTTTTCTAACCCCCATATCTTGAATTTTGTGATCATTCACATGCATTCATAAATACATTTTAGGGTCTTGATGTTTGTCAATAATATGAAATATTTAATCAAGAAAGGACAAAACAAATGATAATGAATGAACCCAAAAGGTTCCATATAGAACATTTTTTCTGGTTACAAAGAACCCTAAAGGGTTCTTTTTATTGAATCCTGTATAGAACCTTTTAGGGGTTCCAAATACGTAGCGCTGATAGAACCTTTTATATACATCTTGAGTCTTCATCTGTCTGTCTGCCTGCTATGCACACACAATTTTCACACAATATATATATATATATATATATATATATATTGTGTGAAAATTGTGAAAAATTATAAAAGTTTAATTTTAGTAAAAATTTTTACTAATTTTTACTAATTAAAATTAGTAAATTTTATAATTTACTTTTTATGTATTTTGTACACCAGTATGATCTGAAAAACCCTAAACAGTGACTCTAGCATCGTTCATTTTTACCTGAACCAGGAATATTTCCCTAAAAATCCATCACTTTCAGAAAACCTGTTTAGCTCACAACAGGTTGTTTCCTGTAATTAAGGGAGTACCTGCTGAGAATGGTGATTAATGTGTGGATTGTGGATGTAGAGAACTACATGAAACAGTAGGAAGTAAGCCTGAGTGTTTCCTTTTCACACCATTTATCCATACCAATAACCTTTTAGTGTTTAACCTTTCCGTGCAAAGCAGTCACTCAATAAAATTCACTTAAAACAACAAATCCAAGTCTTTTAAATCATGTTTCCAAGGAAACACTTAAAATAATGCAATCCTACAGCCTGACTAAATTGATCTTAAAATAACCCTCTAACATTCATTTAATTAAAAAATGAACAGTGCACATTAAGCAACTTAATTTTGTTTAATGTTGACTAACAAAAACATATTTACCTGCTCTGCAAAAATGAAGACAATAAAATTCAGAGCAGATTCACCCAATTAACCTTTGTTTTTGAGACCATGATGTAAAGTCATTACTGGAGGAGAAACTTGCAGTCACCACAGCTGACACCTGTGTCCGTTTCTCAAAACCAAGAATGCAAAGAACGGACTTGTGTTCTTGGGAAGAAAGCTCTTCCTAGTTGTTCTTGGAAGAACGAACTCACGAGGTGACGAGCACACAGAACGCTGCTGACAGATTGAGACGATGTGTTCTTGCTGGTATTGCGCAATAATAACGTTACCCTCGCACAGACGCCGTCTGCAGTGCCCAAACATAACGAGAATTATTGACGATAACAGCCAGGCTTTATCGCCCAAGCCTAAGGGATTACTATACATACACTAGTCTACAATGTAATGTATATTCATAGAATCATAAAGCAACACCTGTCTCATTTTAATTCTGCTGTTGTTTGTTTGTGTACATAACGGCGGGAAAAAATGCCGGTAATATGCAGGTAACTTAAAATTGACCTGCCTCTCTCTGCTTCCCGCTCCTTCCGCGAATGCCGAAATGAATTATGGGATATTTCTGCGTCAAGTTCACACAAGTTACCAACCGATGCATCCTCGGTAAAATGGCAGTGTCAAGAACACATCCGGGATTTTTAACCGTTCAATGCAAACTTGTGTATGGGCTATATGCACGCATATATTTGACGGAAGGATGCTCGCCCATTTCCGGTTGTGGAGATTAAAGCAGAGGAAAACCGAGGAAAACGGGACTATACGCCTTATTCACGGCAGCGCCATCTTTGATTTTTAATGAGAATGAAAGCGAGGCTGTGAGGGATAGTCATGCATTCAATGGGCTGTACTGTTATTTAATGTGTTTTCAGATTGTTCTGCTCATGAAACACTGGAAAAATATCTTTCCAAGACAGTTGACAAAAAAAAAAAAAAAAAAAACTCCTGACAATGTAAGCTGTGGAAAATTGTAAGTAATCTAGGAGCTTTATCAGCTGTTTACAGCGGATGCCATTGGAAACACGGTAAGTCTATCCCTCACAGCCTCTTTCATACCTGTCATGGCACTGCTCTGAATAAGGTCTATGGCAGAGTCTTCAAAATTTACTGTCCTCCCGTCATTGAAACGAAACGTACATACGTTTAAATGTAATTTTATATATAGTTATGTTTATTTAATATAATTTTAAAAAGAAGCATAAACACAACGAGGGGTGTCTGTTTTATCTGTTTTTGTGACTAACGTTCCTTTAGTATAACCATGGAGTATAAAATTCAATATAAATTCTTGGTATTGCATTGGACTCTAAGATCGGCGGAAGTTATCGAGCGTCCTTACACCTTCACCGGAAATACTGCCGTGCATAGAGCCCATTGGGACAGTACTTGGGCCGCGACTGATGACGTTTCACAAGTCCACAAGAACACAAGTACAGACAAGAAGGCATATTGAGAAACTCAACAACGTTCTCCTCGCCCTGATACATTCAGTGTGACCTGAAACGGCTCAGGAGATTTGAAATGTCGACACTACTAAACAGCGAGAACAGATTGATGAAGTGATATTTGTTGAGCTTGGCCCATTGATGGGAATCACCGTCACAAATCTTATTTCAAAGAAGGGTCCGAGAAAATGGGAAAAAAATATTTGAATTTTTAACTCTAACCAGTGCAAAAAGAGAAAACCACAATTGAGCTGTGAAGGTATGTGAATGACATTGCACAACTCACCAGACCACAACTCATCTGGTATTAGGCTTAATTTACTGTTTTGGTGTTCGTTAATCAGGTGGAACAGATATACAGCGTAAGCTTCTGTTGTTGTACGTCACACACATCACACACATGACCAGCGTCGGCCAATAGTGAGCGTACATGTGAAGTAGCTCTACGCTATCCCACTACGTTAACTGACTAGAGGCCCACAGAGAAGCAAATGAATAGTTGAAATAAAGTCATTATTTTTGTTTGTTTTTGCGTTCAAAAAGTGTTCTCGTCGCTTGATAAACTTAAGATTGAGCCACTGTAGTCATTCGGACTATTTTAACGACGTCTTTATAACTTTTCGGGGCTGGCAAGTTTCAATCCCTTAGAAGCCTATAGAGGAGTGATCCAGCTCTCAGATTTAATCAAAAATATCAACATGAGGGTGAGTAAAAACTGACAGAATTTTCATTTATGGGTGAACTATCCCTTCAAGGGTGTAGCCTACACAGAAATCGAGCAGTGCACGAGGGTTAACGTGCGTGATCTTTCAACCCTCAGATGTCATTGTACTGTATGAGAAACCATCATGCTAGTGCTAAAATACCCACCTGGGCTCGGATGTATTCTTAGGAAAACTGTTGTCACTTAAACAAACGTCAACTGCTGCATCAAGAAATAGACCTCATTCTGCACATGCTGCCATTTCTCAGATATTCTACACCGTAGTGGATGTGCTTGACTGGCATCCTGCAGTCCCGACTCTATCTCTAATTGAAAATGTATGTCCCATCATGAAAAAAGAATCAGACTACGGTCTTGTATCTGCCAAGATTAGGCAAATATTCCACTTGCAAAACGGCAACAATAGTTTCCCCAATTCCAAAATGATTAAAAAGTTAACTATCCCAACTTTTTTGGATAAAACTTATTTATATTTAAAAAATAAAATTAAGTTGGTCAGTGAAAACTTTGAACATCTTTTCTGTACGTCTGTCTATTGAAGAGAGTTGACAAATCACGTGCAGATTCAGTTTTTCTTCAATTGTTTTAATTTCCTCAGTTCCTGCCTTGGAACCTGGGATTGTTTAATGGTATTAAACTATATCTAAGCAGTCATCATGTATCTAAAGAAAAATAAATAAATAAACAGGAAGTTCTCGTCCCACAGGAATTTAGATGCATTGCACACAAAATTAAAAGGTAAACTGGTCTGTCATGCAGAAGCTACACTGCGTGTGCTCTTCCTTCCCATTTAAGATAAATCAATGTGATGATTGCAATAATGTGATTGTGAGCTGCGAAGAAAGGCAGGTCTGTTTTCAATTTAAAAGTTAGTCTGCAAAAGCAATTGAGGAAAAGGTTTTTCATGCGAGTCCACTTTTATGTATTGGCTTGACACTACCATTCAAATGTATCTATAATTTTTAAAAACTGTTTTGACAATACATAATATCTGAAATATTACACTGCTTTTTATTTGAATACATTTTGCAATGTTATTTATTCCTGATTGCAAAGCTGAAATTTCAGCATTCAGTGTCACCTGATACTTCAGAAATCATTCTAATATGGTGACCTGCTGCTCAAGAAACATTTATTATTATTATTATTATTATGGAAACAGCTGTCCTGTATTATATTTTGGTGGAAGCTCATGTTTTTCTTAATGGTTCGTTGATAAAGAACATATTTGAAACTAAATATCTTTCTTAACGTTATAAATGTCTTTACTTTTGATCAATTTAATATGTGCTTGATCAATTTATTGAAAAAAAAAAAAAAAAAATCTTACCGACTCCAAACTTTTGAACAGCAGTGAGTCATTATGTTCTGCAAGTGTCAAGAGTAGTTAAACATGGTAACATTTAGAAGTGTTCCCCCCAAAAAAAAAGAAAAAAAAAAGAAGCAAATTTCAAATGGTAGCCATAGCAGATGTGCTGTGAAACATGTTAGTGATTGCTTTACTGGCCACAAATACATTCATTATTTCACTTACTTCAAATAGAATGTGGTTTAAACTCACACACCCAAAATTCGGCTAACTTTCGATTGGAAAGAAAAGACAGAGAGACTACATCTTGGGAGAGAAGCACATAACTAATGTTATAATTTATGACATTATAAATGAATCTTGCCCAGCTCTCACTTTAATAACAAACTGCTCGTAAAAATGTCACAAAACACCAAAGGGAATCACAAACACTAAGACGAGTAAAAGAAACACCACAGCATAGTAACTTTTGTCATTACACTTTATTGTTTCTTTGCAACATTAGCCATGACCCTTGTCATATCTGGCGAGAATTCTGCAACGCTTCAATGTAACCTGAGATTCAAAAATGACTGCGCTAAGGAGCACTTCGATTCATTTTTGACATAGATTTGACAACATGTGAACTGTCATTTTCTCCACAATAATAGTTCGAATAATAATAAACGGCACTAACATAAAATATCTGAACAGAACAAGAACAGTTGTTGTGATGGGTGAAGCTAATGATTCTCTTTCCCCTATTTTAAGAACTGATTTAATAGACAAACTAAATCAAGAATAGGTGAAGGACGAAGAAAACATATACAAAAATTCATGTTTAACACTGACCCAAGGCACATCTGCATGGTATGACATGTTTTGTCTGTATTCTGTTTTGAGGATCCGGTTTGAGACATTCAAACCTTGGCGGGGGATGTATAGGAGCCTTGCGGATTTCTTTCCTTCTGATGGTTATCCAGGAAAAATCTTGCTGCATTGTGCTCTTTGGGAGCTCTAGAATAGACGCGTTAAAGAGGAAAGCAAGACAAAATGCCTACGCCGTTCAGAAAATTCCCTTCCGGCAGTTCCTTGTAAGGGTGTGCATCACTAACTGCTAATCAGCTGTTAAACATGGCTGCTAACTTGCATGAGAAAATAAAACTGCTTAAGAATAACCCCCAAAAATACCATTTAAAAGCTTTAGGGTTGATGGGAAAGCATGGCTACTTTGAGGCAGTCTGAAACTCTTAAATCAATCTGTAGACTTCATTTACTACTAAATGTTTCCACACAGTTTGAGATTATACATCAAACACAGAGTAAAACTAAATAAAGCTAAATCACAAAGGAAAAATAAAACAGAACAAAATATAAGAATCAGAAAAAAGACTTTAATTTGACTACAATAAAGATTAAATGAAAGAAAAACTTTTTTTTTGGTATAACCAGTACAGTGGAGGGTTAGTGGGTATTTAGTGGGTGTAGCCCTTTAAAAACTACAACAGGACCAATGCAGTTCTCAGGGTGTACATGGGCATGTTGCAGTCTGTCAACTTCCTTTTTCCAATGGAAGACAAATATCACGTTTAAACTTTAAGTGTGTCTTTTTTTTAAATTACACAAGGGCTCGTTGGATACCTAAACTCCTCGGAGGGCCAATTCTGCCTCATTGAGACCCCCAACAAACAACAACATCAAAAAAAACAAACAAGCAACCAAACATCTGACCTTGTTGCAACACCCCCCCCCCCCCCCAAAAAAACTGCGGTTGAACTTCAAGCTATAGCATCATCCGGGTTGTCTCATGTGGAAAACGGGGTACAGGGAAAGCTGTAGGAAGAAGAGGTTAGTATCTAACGGTACATCTGGATTCGGGGTGTGTGTGTGAGGATTCCCATCTGGGACAAGCTTTGCATGTCCTTCCTATAAGAAGAGGTGGGAAGGGAACAGGAACAGGACGGGTGGGAAGGGATGGGGTCTTCTAGGAGGCTCCATGGCTCCTTGGAGAGTTCACCTCAATGAACGATGAGAGCTCCAGCAGCGTAACTCACTGAGCTGTCGGACCAGCTTCGGCACTGGCTCGACTGCGCATAGTTCAGGAAAGAGAAGTTCATGTCTATGCCGTTCTTTTTCAGTTCCGCCACGGCCTGTTGGAGTGAGGAGAATCGTTGGAGAGTTAACACTAAAGAGATCCTTAACGGTAATCTTAAAAGCTTCATGATGAAAGACTAGAAAGCTGGCAAGACATTAGTTGGAGGGGGAAAAAAAGACATTAATGAAAGCTCTGCGACTGTTAAGTGCTAGACTAATTACCATGCTTACGGACTAGCCATTATTCACATTGTTTTGCCTCTGCTTTATTGAGTCATCAATGGTTTGCTAAATAAAATGTCCCGGGGGAAATTCATTTGAATCATTCATTATGTACTTACATTTAGAAGAACGCCGATGGGATGGCGACCACAAATAGTATTATGATATTTCTTCAAATAATTGCTAAAGGAGATGGGGTCCAATTGTTCTATAATTCCCATTCCCTAAAAAAAAAGCATATATTTTCACTGACATCAAAGAAACATTCTCATTACTGACATTAATAATGTGACTTTTTTTTTTTCAACAAAAAATCATAATATAAAATATTCAACTTTCAAAAAGCAAATGGATTTTTTTCAGTAACAGTAATTAATGGATATTTCCTCTGGATCAAACCAGATCTTTGTATGGCACATGAGGCAAAAGTACTTTGCCCAGTTGGTAGGCCTTTAATGAGGTTTGGGTTGCTAAGAACATCTGCTATTTGACACCCTGTCATGGGTGGAAAGTATTAAAGTCAGTCTTTGAATCACCGACTTCCACGTCAAAGTAACCATGACATTGACTTTTTTTCTGGAACCAACAATAGGATTAGCACATTGTGTATCCCATAGCAGAATGGGACACTGGAATGAAAACCTTATACAGTATATCAGACATTAAAGTCCCCGTGAAATCAAAATTGAACCTATTTACTTTGTTAGCGCATATTACTAGTCTTGTGGTGAACAATTAATCCGTGCAAGTAAAAATATATTTAAAAAATGTTTTACCTTGGTAATCTTTAATCAAAATCTGAAAAGTTACTTCCGGTCTGGAACGGTTTCTTTTTCTGATGACGTAGGTTTCACAACTTGGGTGGGGAAACGCTTAACCACTCCCCTCAAACCGTTAGTTTGCTATGAGCGAGGGATGGAGAGGAGGAGCGCTAGAGTAAAACCCTGCCCTCTGTTCAATATTCCGTTTCACTTGGAAATACGTCACAGCACTGGAGAAAAATCGTTTGCAACTTCCGGTTCACGGGGACTTTAAAGGAGTAGTTCACTTTTAAAAAAACTTTTGCTGATAATTTACTCACCCCCGTGTCATCCAAGATGTCCATGTCTTTCTTTCTTCAGTCGAAAAGAAACTAAGGTTTTTTGATGAAAACATTCCAGAATTTTTCTCCTTATAATAGACTTTAGTGGTAACCAAAGGGTTCAAGGTCCAAAAGACAGTTTCAGTGCAAACTGCTGAAAGGACTTTAAACGACACCAGATGATAAACAAGGGTCTTATCAAGCGAAACGATCGCTCATTTAATTAATAAATAACAATGTTTAAGTTTTATAAGCTCAAATGGTCGCCTTGCTCTGTTCTGATGCGCATTCGTGACTCTCCTGTTTGAACTCGTTCATCAAAATGAACGAATCTTTTTCCGAGTCAATTCGTTCATTTCGTTCGTTGAATGAACCAAATGACATGAAAAAAGATTCGTTCGTTTTGATGAATGACTTCGAACAGGAAAGTCACGAATGCGCATCAGAACAGAGCAAGGCGACCATTTGAGCTTATAAAACAAAACTTTTATTTTTTTAAATGAGCGATCATTTCGCTTGATAAGACCCTTATTTATCGTATGGAATCATTTAAAGCCCTTTGAACAGTTTGCACTAAAACTGTCTTTTGGACCTTGAACCGTTTGGTGCCCAGAAAAGTGCATTATATGGAGAAAAAATCCTGGATGTTTTCATCAAAAACCTTAACTTCTTTTCGACGGAAGAAAGAATGAAGAAAAGGGCATAGAAATCGGTTTACCATTTTGTCAAGGTGCTCGATCGATCTGTAGATCTCCCCTTGACTTTCATCGTAGTAGGTGTAACGGAAACGTTGACCTGCAGAATAGACGAAAAGAGATCAAATTAATCATTTAACCAAAGAAAAAAAATCTCCATCTGGGATATTTATACGAGTTCCTACCTATGTAGAGCATTTCAAAACACTCACTTTACAAGTTACAAGGTTTATTTCACTCAAGTTACAAGGTTTATTTCCGTTTGGATGCTGCCAACTCTATGTAGGAAGCAGACAGCTTGTGTTTCTGGCAAGTCAGTCCAGCACATTGACGGAGAACGACAGTCTGTGGTCCCGAGATGATGTGGGTGAGAAATGAAAGCTTGCATATTTTCCTTAACAGATTACATGCAGCTTTCGTTATATTTCATTTGAGCAACACTTGATTTAGGGCGGTTCGCTATACCAAACAAATATCATGCCTTCACTCTCCACTTTTATGATTATTGGAATCTATAATAAATATATATACATACATATACATTTTGAATATTATATATAATAATAGGCAATTGTATAAAGTTTGTGTTAAGTGCTGCTTTTCGTAATATATGCATAAATATGCACATGTTACTGTTGTGTGCATGTTGCATACAACAAAATTGGTGTATTTTTCACACAAAAAAGATTGGGTCACACTTAAGATTATGGTCAAATTCTCACTATTAACTATGACTTTTCTTATTAATAGTTAGTAAGGTAGTTAAGTTTAGGTATTGGGTAGGATTAAGGGATGTAGAATATGGTCATGGAGGATAAGGCATTAATATGTGATTTATAAATACTAAAAAACAGCCAATGTCCTAGTAATACGCATGCTAATAACCAACTAGTTAATAGTGAGAATTAGGTCCCTAAATTGAAGTGTTACCAAAAATTGGAACACGCAAACGTGATCTATCAAAGCCATTTGAATCAATAATAGATCCAATGTGCTGACTTGAGCCAGAACTAAATGACTAGTTGCTGCAAACTCTAGATTTACTGCCGAGAAACACTTGTCAGCAGTGCATCTCATTTCAACTAACAGGAAATTCTTCACAGATTCCTGACTGCAATTTATATTGACTAGTTTCCGTTTTTTGACAGTTGTAAAATTAAAGTGTGCGTGGACACAAACCCCAGTGGCAAAAGTCAGAGGAGATGATGAAGAGATTGGAGGGGTCAGCCAGGTATTTGCTTAGCAGCTTGCCATATTCCTGCTCTTTCGATTCACTCAGAGCTCCCACCAACACAGGAACAATGCTGAATTCATCTTTACGGCTGTTTATGAGAAACAAAGCACAGCAGGGAATCATTCATCAAGTCCCGGATAGAGATTTGACATTTGCATGTTTATTAAAATTCATTTTCCAATGAGTTTTGCATCACTCATTAAAACAGTGGCCATGCCAACTCAATAGCTCTGCAAGGGGTTTCAGTTACCCACATTTCTAAGGGTGATTGTAATGTGGAGGATTTTTTTTTACATATTACAGTTGCTCAGCAACTAATTGCTCTGCTTGGGAAAAAAAAAATACCCAAATGTCTAATCAAACAAATTGAGGGGATGTTAACTTTTCTTTGCCCACATACTGTAATGTTTTAATGGCATAACAAAAGTGGTTGGTGGCTTCTGCATTAATAATAAAATATGTATATATTTTTTTAAATAACAGAACATCCACCACTGCAAACTAATTAAGGGGTACAGCACTAGGTAAACAGATCCTGACAACATAATGAGTGGATCTGGCAGAGATGAATGAGCATTAGAGAGGGACTATGGGCAAATAATGCTGCTCATGGCTTCTGCATTGAGATGAGGTGAAACATTGATAGATACTTGCCTAATGTAAAAACCAGGTAGATTGAGGAAACCACAGAAAACTATATCAAATATCACACATTTTGCCAGAATGCAACATTGACACAATGTTAAAAAGCAAAGGGTTAGACTTGTGTAGTTTTATAAAAACGAGGATGATGTGACTCTCCAGTACCACTAATATTCTTGGTTCCCTCAAAGAAATCACTTACATTTTACATTTTTATCCAGACAAAATTTATGGTAACACTTTAGTTTAGGATCCAATTCTCACTATTAACTAGTTAATGCATATTACTAGGATATTGGCTGTTTATTAGTACTAATGAATCACATATTAATGCCTTATTCTGCATGACCATCTGCTACATCTCTTAATCCTACCCAATACCAAAACTTAACAACTTCCTTACTAATGATTAATAAGAAGTTATTAGGAGTTTATTGAGGCAAAAGGTTTAGTTAATATTGAGTATTGGACCCTAATCTAAAATGTGACCAAAGTTATATACACTAAACCGTTCATGACATGAGAATTCAAGTATTCTTTGAAGCATTCTGCAGGCATTTTTATTATTTAAAACATCATCCTCATTATATAAAAAATTATTTATGTAATCAAGCTCCAAAGACGATACACAGTTGCATATGACTGCCTCAATAGCAAGACACCAGTGAATAAATCATAATAATAAATCATCGCATCATAGTTCCCACTAACTGCCGGTCAGTCACTTAAAATCAGCATGAAATGGAAGTTGCGAGAGTCTTGCCTATTGCGAGGTATATCTGAGTGAAACAACTTTTGGGAAAAATGTAGGGCAAACAAGAAATATATATATATATATATAAAATTGTAACAATTCTTCACAGAATCTGATGTATTCAAGGGATAGTTCATGTTGTTCCAAGCCTGTATGACTGACTGTCTTCAATGGAACACAAAATAATATATTTCGAAGAATGTTTCAACTGCTTTTATCCATATAATTAAAGTCAATAGTAGGGTTGAGCGATGTCCCCTAAACTGTAGTTGACAATGACCAAGATTTCCTGAGAAACTACAATAGGCTACTAATAATTCATTAATACAGGCTGTTTTCTTATACAAAATTAAATATTTAATTTTAAATGTACAGTGTAAGACAATGTCAAGATCAATATTTGTGTAGCCTGACACTGTATTTCACACGGCACGCTGATGTGGCCCGGCGACCCGTTCCAGGAGCAGTGTGTATACAACAGTGCAGAGATCGCTTACGCACCGAGTCTATTATTTGCTGCGCTGTACGTGCTGAATTAAAGTGATAGGGCATGGTTTTTCATCATAAAATGCATTTAATTAAAAACTACTATTTTGCAGTATTTTTTTTTTTACCTTAAAGCTACACTGTGTAACTCTTTTAGTTTAATCTTAGCTAAAAACACTTAGTTCTTTCAAAAATATATGTGCTCATTAATGTATATTGACTTCGTACAAGTAATAAAATATTGTCGTGAGTGTATAATATGCCACTGAAAATATATACGGGTAAGGGGTTCTAATGTCGGTCGCCATGTTGTCCCTCCATCTTGAAAGTACATTACCCAAAGAGGGACATACCCGTTAATTCAAGCTTCGCCTTTCGCGTTTACGTTTGAGTTAACACTCATGGACAAGGTCGAACTGGAAGCCATATTAATCTTGGACTACATTGGCCACCGTAGGAGTTAAAACGAAATCGGAATTGAGAGGAACAGAAACTAATATTCACTGGATGGTCATATACCTTTTCACCTCTAGATGGGGGTAAAAATCACACAGTGTAGCTTTAAGACTGGGGTAAAGCAAGGAAAACTACAATTTCCTTTAACAAGGACATAATATGAACGACACTAGTCTCATTCGTGGAGATGGAAACACAAGTTCTTTATCACATGCAAGATTTATAATTCAATAAATATTTAAAATATGCAAAAGAAAAGGTATGAGTCTGCTGTTGTCAATTTTAAGTTTTAATTTAAAATGTTTGCGATTTTAATACAAGTACATGGTTAAATATTTTACCACTTGCTTGAGCAACTTAATATATAATCTACAGTATATAGATGTAATGCACTGAATAATACGTTGTTTAAATTGTGTTTAAACGTGAATACGTCTATTAAAGAGTGCATACGTGTACAAAGAGAATCGCAATGCTGACAAAACTTTTTTTAAATAAAAGTTGCAAATAACTTCTGGATTTGAAATAGTGAGTAAATGTGTTTGTGGTGGTACAGCAGCAAATCCGTTTACGCACTGTAAACGAAAGCACTATAACGCATTCTGCTCCTGTACTGCATACACACTGCACACGGAGTATGTGTAAAACGGGCGTAGACTACAGTATTTAAAATAGCATGCATATACATTAGTTATATTCTCTATTTAATTTACAGACCAATCCCTGCAAAGTTTAGGGACTAAGATTAGCGTGCGTCTGGTTGGGGGTCATGCCATCAAGATGGTGGCTCTCCATTGTGATATCGTCCATCGGCACAACCCAAGTCAATATGTTTCAAAACAACACATTGAAACCCCAGTGACTTTGTGTTCCATAGAAGAAATGCATACAAGTTTGTCATCAGTGTGACTAAATGATAACAGAATTTTCTGTTTTGGATGAACTGTTCCTTTAACGGTCCAGATGAAGATGTTCATTGTCTGGTTGTTACCTCTCCATGGCTTTAGCGGTATAAGGCAGGTGCATCTCAATGCTGTGTTCATCTTCATCTGTCTGCAGACTCATCCTCTCAAACATGCCCGTTTTCCACAGATCAGCGTAAACTGCGTGATAGAGAAACGGGGGGATTTAAAGCCCTTGTGTTTCCACTTTCATTGAGGAGTTACAAACAGAAAAGGTAATTACACAAACCCTCATTAACATGAACAGCATGATATAAAAAGATTATCCCTCATATTTCTATGTTGCACATTTGTCAAGGTTATAGTCAACAGTCAAATATAGTCATTTACAAGTTGAAAATGTTGTAATCACATCTGCAAAGCTCAGTTTGAGAGCAAATGAGCCAGAAGTCAAAACAATCGGGGTGAACACCTTTCTGTGCATTCTTCTTCAATCCGTATTTAATCCTCCCAAGGTTTCTGTTTTGAGACTGGGCAGGGAGGAAATGAGATTCCTTACCCTTCTGGTCGATCCTCAGGTCATACAGTGGCGTTCTGTAGACCTCGGCGGGGGAGAGGGCACAGCGAGACAGCGGCACATGGTGAGAGGGGCCGAGAATGAACACCCTCCGACTGATGAATAAGAAAGTGCTGCGGTTACCTCTCTCCCCTCGGCAAACTCAACATTACGGCTACTTCCAGAGAATTTAAAGAAGCTCTGATGACAGGAGGGACACTTACGTGATTGAGGGGTCCACCTGCTTGTAGGCGTGAGCGGCACACGCGCCGCAGTAGGTGTAGCCAGCGTGCCTGCAAAAGACACTTGTTTAGGAACACAAAAACACAACGGAAGCTGAAGCAAAAAAGTTGTCTGTCTGGTTTGACTCCACATACGGTGCTATAATGGCTCTAGCTGGACCAACTGTAGATTGTGCTTGAGATAACCAGCCCTCAAGTTGTGCGTTGAGCTGGGATCCTAAACGAAAAGATAGAAGAAAACCTTATTAGCAAATATGAGAGATAAAGACGTAATTTGACAGCTTGGACAAATCAGCAAGGATGTAGTTTGTATGGTACAATTCTCACTGTGTAGAAATATATAACAGAAGTATTACAAGTCTCCCTTTATAATCTATAGCATTAAATGTAAGGGTGAAAGAAACCCACAAAATCTGTCAAGACAATGTTCAAGATCTTAGCACCTTATTAGCTGGGAGAGCTTTGCTTTGATTGGACCAGAAAAAACTCACCCCCATGTCATCCAAGATGTCCATGTCTTTCTTTCTTCAGTCGAAAAGAAATTAAGGTTTTTGATGAAAACATTCCAGGATTTTTCTCTATATAATGGACTTCAGTGGGAACCAAACGGTTCAAGGTCCAAAAGACACTTTCAGTACAAATTGCAAACTGTTCAAAGGGTTTTAAGCGATTCCAGACGATGATTAAGGGTCTTATCAAGCGAAACGATCGCTCATTTAATAAATAAATGACAAAGTTTATGTTTTATAAGCTCAAATGGTCGCCTTGCTCTGTTCTGTGATGTACGTTTGTGACTCTCATGTTCAAACTCGTTTATCAAAATGGACAAATCTTTTTCCGAGTCATTTGGTTTATTCAACGCACGAAACGAACGAATTGACTTGGAAAAAGATTCGTTCATTTTGATGAACGAGTTCGAAAAGGAGAGTTACAAACGTGCGTCACAGAACAGAGCAAGGCGACCATTTGAGCTTATAAAACATAAACTTTGTCATTTATTTATTAAATGAGCGATCGTTTCGCTTGATAAGACCCTTATCGTCTCGAATCATTTAAAGCCCTTTGAACAGTGTGCAGTTTGCACTGAAATTGTCTTTTGGACCTTGAACCGTTTGGTTCCCATTGAAGTCCATTATATGTAGAAAAATCCTGGAATGTTTTCATAAAAAAAAAATGTATTTCTTTTCGACTGAAGAAAGAATGACATGGATATCTTGGATGACATGTGGGTGAGTAAATTATCAGGAAAAGTTTTTGAAAAGTGAATTAATCCTTTAAAAAAATTAAGCCTATTTAAGACAATCATAATTTTTATATGCATTGTATTCATGACAAATATTGTGTAGAATAAGGTGATGATGTGGAAATAAAAAGAAAATAAATCCACTTGATTGTCATTTTCGTCCCTTATTTCCATAAGCATAATACAAAAACTAAAATCGAATTACTGCAATGCGGTAAAAAAAAAAACATTATTTAATATTATTCATTCATATAACTGTAAAACCCAAAAAAAAAATATTATATATATATATATATATATATATATATAAACTCATTCATCATACTATCACGTTAGTATCTCAACATGCTAAACAATTTAAAAATGAAGTATTCACCTGTGGATTCCTCATCTACTTCAATCATTCAAACAAAAATGAATCAATAGCTAAAATTGCTGTCCTGAATGTTGATTTCAGCAATATTTCAGTCTTAGACCGTGCCATTGTCCCAATTGTAATGGAAATCTTATCAGAGTCTGACAGGACAAGATAACAGTTGTGAGAACCAGTGAAGAGATGAACTTCAGCTGATTCTGTAAAAGGCATAACAACAGTACAACCAAATTGGTCAAATTTTCACAAATGATATTCCCAAGAGCATCTGCATAATGGTTAACTAATATCTACAGAGCTGTTTTTATATAATAATTACAGTCAAAATTTGTAGTTAGTAGTGTAATCCATTACACATTTTATGTAATATAATCTGACTACTTTTTGATTACCTTCAGATTGCATTTGACCCAACTCGTTTAACACACTGGACTGAATAGGATAATATTGTACCATACTGATATTAAAATACAAAGAGATTTTATATTTTAAAATAATGAAAATTACAATTATTTTAAAACAAAAAGATGTTTTAAAGACAAACTCCTTCCAAATACATAGCCTAGTAATATGCGTTTAAATGACTTTCTGGGTGATAATTAAAATAATAATTTATGTTCTCACAGGAGTTTGATATGCAATGTTACAATGTTGAGAAAACAGTCAAATGCTTTGTGGCCTTTCAATTTGCCATGCAATTATAGCCACATGACTATTGGCTGGTCTGTGTGTGTAATTTCAAAACTAGGAGACTTTCTAGAAAATAAAAACTTTCTTAGAAAGAAATAAAATTAAAAAAAACATGAGTGGAAGAATAAGGGAGAATCACTCAATTATGAAGGATTTACTGCCATTATGTGAATATGTAATCAATATAAAAAGCAGACTGATTGCAGGTATTTTAAACTGTTATATAATCTAATTTCAAGTACTTTTTCCAAGTACTATTTCTGAATCTGATATTCTGATTATGTAATCTCAATTATATGTAATCACCTAGCAGAGCGAGAGAGAGAGAGAGAGAGAGAGAGAGAGAGAGAGAGAGAGAGAGACAGAGAGAGAGAGAGAGAGAGAGAGAGAGAGAGAGAGAGAGAGAGAGAGAGAGAGAGAGAGAGAGAGAGAGAGAGAGAGAGAAAGAACATATGAGACCTGGTCAATATATCAGTCTAGCACATATGAAGAAGACCAATAAATTAGGAACTGTAGTAATTTTATTGTTCAAAAGAAATGTTTTAATGACTGATGCCTTTAACGGTTTGAAAGGCTGATTGCAAAATATACACATTTTAATTGATCACAATTTAATGACAACAAATGTGACATTTTAATTCATTTTATACAATACAAAAATATTATATCATAATAATATTGAGAGAGAGAGAGAGATTCATAGACAACATTGTCTGTACATTTTGAAACTGTCACCTTCCTGTTATTAAGCCAAGTTATGATAATATAATCTAAAACCTGTAACTGAAGACATAATAATCTAAGGATGTTTATAGTTGTGTATGCCAGTAACTCTGTACGTGGGGAACCATCAACAAAACAAGGAACCACTAGACTGTTTTAAATAAGTTACATTATAGATGTTATTTGCTGGAAATAGATCTTCTAGAATACACATGCAAAAGACTGTTTTTTTTTCTTTTACAAAACAAGATCTCTAAATATGTTGGCAGCTTGCAGAACAGGTGACAGTCATCATGTAAAGGCCAGCAGATTGATTTCTGTAGAGTATACGTGTGATATCTTTGTGTGTGTAACACTGAGGTTTTGTCATGCATCCTTTGTTACTGCAAGAGAGAGAGAGAGAGAGAGAGAGAGAGAGAGAGAGAGAGAGAGAGAGAGAGAGAGAGAACCATCGGCCATCTAAAGACTTTCATGTGCTGACTGTGCTCACTGTATTTGCTGGAATGGAACTGGACATCTAAATGCTGACCGATATAACAATAAACAGGATTACTTGACATCAGAATTAATTAAATATGGGGTTTGATTCTCCATAAAAACATCTTTGTCATGTACAGCTGTAATATTAACTTCATCAAATAGCTTTAGCCGTTAGCGGGGTCAATCCAGTCTTCTGAACTGCGGCACTATCTGGATTTACTGATCCGGGAAAGTAGGGCTGGGTAAAGTTAATGTGGATGCTATATTAATCTGTGGTATTAGTTCGTGTAGTTGGTGTGTATAAGGGGAGATTCACACACACACACAAGCTATAGGCTAACCCGCTAACTGCTGGCCTGTTTTGTTCTCAGCTGCTGATACAGAAAAGCTACACACAATAGAGACACAAAAATACACAACAACAACAACAACAGGCAAATATGAGAGAAACGCAAGAGTCTGGTCGATTTCAATAATGCCCCATGAATTCAAATGCAAGTGGTTTTAGTTTACTCCCTGAAAAACAGAAATAATTTATTCAAAATGATTTCTAACATATAGACTAATTCATGAAATGGGCATTTAAATGCCAGGGCAAAGTAAATGCCGCACTTTTGTTTACAGAATTAGAAGAATTGTGATGGAGAATTTTAGAGTATATTTTAACTAAATTAAGCTGACATGTTTTAGTTTGCGTTTAAAACAAAGTCAGTTCGTTTTTTCAAGGATGTCAGCTCAGGAAAATATGTGTAAATGTAAAGAAACGCGCTCTGTGGTCATTAAACAAATTTAATCTCGGCTATTTAATAATTCCCAGCTGATCGCACAGGCAGTGTCAAAAAACTTAGTGTGCTGCCTATCTAGGCAGCATTTTGGCTATCATAGGAGCGTGCTGAGCATCCCAGTTATGCTGTCTAGCTAGGCAGCTCACCAGGTTTTGAGACACTGCCAGACACAGACACAGACACACACACACTGGTGTTAAGCAGGACACCGGACCTCAGGCCCGGGCCGCTGTCTCTATGGCTCTACCTGAGGCCGTGTACCAGCTGCCGGCGTGGCTCGCTTCTCTGCACACCATCCGGTTCGACATCTTGGTGCCCGCGCCGCCTATCTTGGTCCAATAAAACCTCGTCGGTGGGGGGAAGAATGGACTAAAAACACTAGGAAAATATGCTAGCCTAAAAAGTATCTGTCTGTGCTGAAGCTGCGTGCACAAAGAAAGAGTATTTTATATATAAATATAAATGTGATACATATGAATGACAATACGCAAAAATATATAAAGAGGTTGATAGTCTAGCTGAGAAGAACAAAGAGCCAACCAGTTCATCCGCTCCCTGCCAAGTTTGTCTATGTTATCCGGGTGGGCTGGTTTGGCCCATGTCGGCTTCCGTTCCGTCAGAAAAACTGGGCGGAGAGAGTTGACTGACTGACTAAAGCCAGAGCCATGTAGTAGACTGATTGGTCGATGGAGATTAAAGGCGTGTCCAAGAGGATGCATATGCAAATAACGCTTTGATTATTGGATAGCTCAGTGTGTTTGGCTGAGACTCATTGGTGGAAAACCTATGTGGGCGGGGACTCGCAGACGTTTTATTGCTAAAAACACCATTCAACATTTTGTAACGTTCAAATAGGATTAAATAAATTGTATGTCGTGAAAGGACAGAAGAGTCGTAGAACTCTTGTCGTTTGTTTTATGGTTGTCAATTTGTACAAAAATATAGGGGAAAAAATTTAATATCTCTTATATAAAACTTTATGTGTTTGTTATTGTGAATATGATGCTAAAACTATTGACAACATTTTATATTCACAGATGTGGAATGTCTAAATATATCCCATTTTATAATAAAGGTTTTTAGCTTGGATCTATAGCTTGGATCAAGATATAGATATACAATAACCCAACCAGCCAAATGTAATGTTTTATATATATTTGAAGAGTTCAGATGCAAAAGCCTCTAAATGCCATTTGAAATTTTCTTCTAAAATGACAATTTTTATCAAGCTTGTATATTTAAGTTCAGTAATTTCACTTAAATGACAATTGATAGGTCATCTTCATTGGCATTTAAGTGAAATTATTGAACTTAAATATACAAGCTTGATAAAAATTGTCATTTTAGAAGAAAATTTCAAATGGCATTTAGAGGCTTTTGCATCTGAACTCTTCATTTACAAAAAATAACCTGTTAATCTTTGACGTCTTACTATTTCTTACTATTCATCTTTTATTTTTGCTTTCATTTATTTTTTTATAATTGTTCATTGCAACTTAATTTCAATGTGCATTGACTGACTGACTGCAGTTTACCACCAGAGGGCATTATTGCATAGAAGATTGATTCCCTTTTCTAATGCTGTGTTTCCAACTGTTTCAAATAAGTTTTGTGTAAATATAAAATCAGAGGCTATACATATCTCCTGCGCTACGAATAATATTGATGAATCAATCAATCAACAGTCAGTTTTTGCTCTTCATATAAGACGTGATTTGAAATTATAGACATTAAAAATATTTGGAATAAGCCAGAGACACAACAATTCCCACAAATCTACAGTGTCGTATCAGCATGTTGTTGTTGTTGTTTTACTGTACACTGACTATAATCAAAGTCCTTTAAATCATAAATTAACCAATTATTGAAAATTGCCTAAAGCACAGTACACCCGTGACCCGCATAAAAGTCAGCAATTGTCCCTTCTGGTGTGCCGTCCCGGACAGATCCCGTTTCCAAAGCAACAAGGACGCAGGATCACAGCACAAGCCAAAAAGTCTATTTTTTTTTTTTTTGCACGAATGTTTGAACTTCAGTCACTACACATATATGATTAAACCATATGGTCACATTCGTAATACGTAACCAGCAAACGCTAACTTTCAGGTGAGTGATGGGATAAACTCATAAACTTACTTTTGAAGCTGATGTCATCATTCATTGGCACTTTCCACGAATTCAGTGTAACGTTTCAAAACACGGCCTATAACTCAAAAAACGTAGAGCTAGTTTTCAACATATTGACAGTGAAAGTAGGGTTTGAGTTTTTTTAAATATTAAATTAAGCGTTTCTCTCGAGGCAGGGCTATAACGTTAGCTTGTTTCGGGCCAGTTTCCTATTTTGTAGTTAGCTATTACTAAGCGTAACGTTATTATTCATTAAAGGAAAATGTATATTTTTTCTGTACAGTAACTTGGTAAATAGAACTTTGATAAATAAAGTAAAAATTACAATTTGTGTAAAAATTGAAAAAAAAATTAATGAAATGGTTTTAAAAAATTGCATGATGTCACCAATGTTACCTCTGTGTCCTCACAATTGTAATGAATGTTTAAAACATATTGGAGGAATAAACTGCGGTAACTTTATAGGGGTGTGCTACATAAAATGTGGGACACAATTGAATTTAACCCTTGTGTTAATTTAAGTTAATAAATTCATATAAAATTTGTGTTCTAATGAATTGAATATTAAAGGTAGGGTTGGCAATTTTATTGTGGCTAGCAATATACGAATCCGACGAGCGTTCTTGTGTAGGCTGCCATCTTGTGGCGACGCCATTACTGAGCTGTTACACCGGCATAGACATGTGCACCGGTATGTAAACAAACCTCAGTGATAACGCGAAAGCAGAAAGCACCCTCGATGACAGCTACAGCCAGGCCAGCCCGATCTCATGAAAGTTCGTGTCTATGGCACGAATGTCATTTCTCGTGGCATTTATACGGCAAAAACAGTTTTTGCGTGTATTTGGCACGCGATTTTCGCGTACATATGATACGCACTTTTTTGCGTATAATACGCACGAACTCCCCACCCCCCTCCCCCCTAAACCTAACCCAGGGTTTTTTAGTGCGTACCATATACACGAAAAAAACACTTTTGGCGTATAAATGCCACGAGAAATGACACTCGTGGTATAGATACGCATCTTCATGAGACTGTGTTGGCCAGGCAGAATGACTTGTTGGGTTGATGATGTTAGACAGCGGCCTCCAGTCACAGTTGAAGGTTTCTTACATATTATTTATGAAAATAGTTTGGCAAGTTGGCAAGCTAGCTAGGCTAACGTTTGCTAACGAGGAAACTATAAAAAAGATCTGTCCGTTTGGCAACAATAAATAAATGAATGAAATCAAATAAACAAATTCATGTTTTTAATTTGTGTCCATTATTTATCTCATTTTCAAATTGCAACGTTAAGGTAACGTTACAGCTAGAAAGTATACATAATATCGACCAATTAGTGTTTTTAAACCATGGAAAGAGGTCAATATAACAGCAAGAGAACAATTATGTCACATAACGTTACATTTAGCTCAGGAAAGCCATTTAATGACCATAGCATATTAATTGAATAGAAAAAAATAACAAAAAAGAGGAGGTTTTGCTGATCACTATATCACATATTTATTATATTTTTTTACTTATGTCATTAAATAATTGTTGTTATACGCGAATGTCCGCGGCTTGTACTCGCCCAGGAAATCTGTGTAAACCGTACGGCACCAGACAGGGGCAGTCGACTCGGGGTATTCACAATGTTTTCTCTTCAAAATTGAAATTTTACTGCCACCATTGAAACAATTTATAACGGAAACTGTTTACCCACTCGACATTATACAAGGGCTAACGTTGCAACGTTAGTGACAGTCGTAAATCGCGGGCTGTTTATTCCAGTGGACGCAAGTTGCAACTAAAACAATAGGAGGCAATGGCGCAACGCTACCCAGCAACAGCTCAGTAATGGCGCCCGCTTACTTCCGGTAGTTTCGCCGGATTCGTCTATATGGTAATGCGCGTGATGTCACTGTCGCCCGGAGTGACAAAAGACTGAGTGGCAGCATTGGTAATCAGTGTGTGATGCTGCGAAAAACACACAAAGCATCTAAATTGGGAAAGAGCTTTGCTATTGACTGTAGACTACAAATAGATTTGACAAGAAATCTGAAGTATATTTTTACAGACTGCTGAAAGCTAGATCAGAGAAGCAAATGGATTGCTGCAATTTGCTGCAATAGAAAAAAACTGGACACCAGGCAGCGGAAGATGGATTTGTAGTTTAGGGCTCGATGGTCTGATGATTGATATATAGATAGATATAAATAGATATAGATGTAGATACACATATAGTAGTAGCATTGATATAAGTGATCCGTATTTATCTAGATTGTATTTATATAAAGCGTTCACAGGCAAATTTGCTTTATCCCTGGCGTCGAAATCAGGCACATATAAATGTCAGGAGGAAACACAAATCCTGGCTCCATGTCAATATCCATGGATTACTGGATCTTTGGTAAGTTGTAAGGAACACTATATTGAGTCCTGATAATCATTTGTTTTACTTGCGTATTCGCAGCGTCCCCTAATAAATACATTAAAAACACGTGAGGTCGCACACAGCCAGAGCAGATTCAGCAAAGAGATGGCATATACAGTATAAGCACATAACATTAAAATAATAATGAACTTAAACAACTTTCAGAACTCTTACTTACAGTACCACCTGACTGCTGCAGATTCCTTTCAGCATTGATAATGTTGACATAGCAATGGATAAATCCCAATGCTCGAACAGGACGTTATGGGTTACCATCTTGAAATTATGGTTGCAACATGGGGTGAATGTAGCATAAGCTGGTTGTTTGGTTCAGAGGGAACTGTAAAAGATGACTGATGTTTTGTTTATGACTCCCAAATTCGGACTAAATGCAATGAACGTACAAACATTTTTTTTGTCCTGAGATTTCCACAGAAGTTTATGTACATGGTTTAATATTTACCACTTATATTATTGATTGCTATCAGGATGTGATGAGAAATCCAACCAGTATAATAAAAAGTGTTCATAAAACAAATTTAATTCAACGGATTGTTAAAATTACGACGTTGTACATTCAAAAAGGATTGCTGTCTTTAACAATGTCTGTTTGTCATGCTTGATTAATTTAATGTTATTATAGTTTATCAATATGTATTAAAAAAAAAGAAATTCACTTATTCACTAATGCATTTAAAAAAATCTCATGGGAAACCAGCAGGGGCTGATTAAGGTCTACTACACAAGCCCCTTGATGAGGCAGTTAAAAACAAGCACTCCACAATAGCATTGACAACAGGTGTCCCTCGCCAGGTCATTACCCCCCAGTATAGTTCATTACTCGCCCTGAGCCCCCAGTATAGTTAGGTTTTAGGGTTAGGTGTGGTCGGGTTAGGATTAGGCATCCAGGTAGCGGCCTCAACAACAAAGGGGTTATAATTTGGCTGGGACACAGTTTACAACTAAAACTGACGTAGGGAGGAGTGATGTTACATTAATCTGTAATGTGCACTGTGTTCTTGGCAATTGCCTGTTATTTTAAAAACCTCCTTCCAGTAATATTAGTAATTACTAATACTGCCTTTTTACTAGGCCTGTTAGATGTCATCCTTCCCTGCTGAACACTTAAGCACTGTATTCTTTTCAGGATTCTCATTGTGTGTTGTTCAGGTGTCTACTGGGTACACCATGGCTGCTGTGACCTCAGAGCAGTATTTGATCGAGAGACTTGCTGTAACTTGCAATAATCCAGTGTCCCATCTGCAGCTGACCTGCTGCCCTTCCCACTGTGCTGTCCCATGGCAGGGCAAGAATATAAGGATTTATGAAAACAACAACCTGGAGGTCTTTGTGCACTTATATCTATTTTCAATGAATGTCAAAATTAAACTTAATATTTTTGAAAAAAGTCTCTCTAAAGGCTGCGTTTAAAATCCGGTAAAAAAATAAAGTGCAATATTATTACAATTTAAAATAATATATTATAGTTATAAATGTACATTATTCCTGTGATGGTAACGTTGTAAAAGTATTCGAGAGAGTTTCACATGTAATCCGTAGCAATTTCATATGCAAGCATGTCAGCCAATCACAGCAGTGCCCGGTTACACTGAATCCCACAGCAGACACGCCCCTTCAAACAGAGAGTTCCAATCAGAGGCTGAAATCACGCTAGGAAAAATGCCTTTATTTCTAAATTTTGACTATTTTTTTATCTAAAAAAACATACTAACATTATAAGGGGAAACCAGAAAACATTGTAAAATTTATAAAATAACCCCATGTCATGGGACCTTTAAAAAAAATAAAATAAGTTTGCTTAAATTCTAATAATATTTCACATTTTTACAATGATACTGTATTTTTATCAAATATATTTAGGATTAAACCTACAACTAATTTGAATGTTTCCTGTAGTCTCCCTTGGAACTTACTGGTCACCATTGCGACGTGTCTGCCATGGTGTTTGGGACAGTGAGTGATCGTCTCATCCTCTGTAGTGCTTCTGAAGATTATGTGATTGTCTGGGATATCCATCGCTGCTACAGACAAATAAAAGAAGGTAGTAAGTGCCCATAATAGGTGACCTATAAAAACAACAAATATGCTCATCTGGAGTCAAAAACATCCAGAAATATAAATGGTGCCTTTTTCTGTCATTTTGTTAAAATCTCACAACCATGACATCTGTGTTCCAGGTGTAATTGCCTCAGGTAGAGTTGTTGGCACATTGCTCGGTAGGGTGGTGCATCTGTCACTATGTCCACTGAGCTGGAAAGTGGCAGCATGCTCAGGCTCCAGAGTGGTTCTATTAAATGCAGAGGTATGAAATAAGGTGCACACCATTTTTGTTCAGTGAATTGAAAACAAAAGCATTTATGAGAAAAAATAATACCTTTTTGACCCATCTCCAGATGAAACACTAAACAAAGCCTGCATGCAGAACATTCCGTTACTCATGCTGTGATTGACCAGCCCGTAAAGTTTGGGAGATAACATTGAAATACTTAAATGAAACCAGCAGTAAATCATTGTACGAAAAAAAAAATCAGAAAAAGCCCCTTCAAGCCGACTTCAATTCAAAAAATGTAGGGTTAGTTCACCCAAAAATGAAAATTCTGTCAGTATTTACTCACCCTCAAGTTGTTCCAAACCTCTATGTGTTTATTTGTTCTGTTGAACACAAAGGAAGATATTTGGAAGAATGTTTTAATCAAACAGATCTCATTCCCCATTGACTACCATAGTAAGAAAAAATACATACTATGGTAGTCAATGGGGAATGAGATCTGTTTGAATAAAACATTCTTCCAAATATCTTCCTTTGTGTTCAACAGAACAAATAAACACACACGAACAACTTGAGGGTGAGTGAATACTGATAGAATTTTCATTTTTGGGTTAACTAACCCTTTAACTTAAAAATATACGATCATCTTTGTATGTAGTAAAACACCTTTCAATGAAATTGTAAAACAATAAAGATTTTCCATTAAGATAAATAAAGACAAAACCTGAGGCACTGCATATCTGTTTCCTATAGAAAGAGGAAGTGCTTGGAGTGCTGAAAGCTCATCTTGGTCCTGTGACTGCATCAGAGTTCTGTCCATGGGATGCTAATCTTCTCATCTCTATCTCAGAAGACAGAACATTCAAGGTATAGATACCATACAAAGTCAAACCAGGAACAGCATTACTGTTTACTAAATAGCCTACATTTTTTTTTTTCAATTTTTCTATGATTGTGTTTACACACTCTACTATTCAAAAGTTTGGGGTCAAAAAGATTTTTTTTATTATTCATCAAAGAAGTCTTAAAGAAATGTATAGATATAAATATATAGATGTTAAAAAATTAACAGCACAAATGTTTTAAACATTGATAATAATAGGACATTTTTCTTGAGCTGCAAATCAACATAGACTTGCAGTAATGTCTTCTGCATTAAACCTTCTCAGACAAGGCTTAGATTAAGCCCAGATTAGGCCATAGTTCAATTAAGATATTTAAGTAGCGTTTGTAAACATGCCATTGAAAAAAAAAAAAAAAACCTTTCTGGTGTGTATCTTCAGACAATATATTAAGATACAGTATGTCGGGGCAAGCTGCTTTCAGTTAAAACAACTCAAACATTTATTTTAGTCTAGGGCTTGGCTTAAGCCTTTTCTGTGAAACCGGGGGCATAACAATTTATTGTACCCATCAAATTTTAGCATATATATATATATATATATATATACATACTTGTTTTATATATGGCTTTCTTTTTTGTATCAGATATGGGATGTGAGGAAGGGGGATATTATGTTTGAATCTGCTGTTCTATCAGGTTGGTGTATAATTTCTAACACCAATATTTATACAACAGAAATTGAAATTCTTCATTTATTGTAGCCTGTAAATGTAGAGAATATGTAGTGAAGATGTTTCTGTTACACAGCGTATCCACTGCTTAGTCTGTTCTTCATGGAGCAAAACAGTCAGTTCATCACAGGATCTGGTGATGGACAGGTGAGTCATCACAAACACTTTCAGCCTCTTTTGTGTAATCCATATATTGCTTTTTTTAAGTTGGAATATATGTTATTCAAGCTTTGGTGCTACACTCTCCCTGTGGACCACAAATGTCGCTTGGTGACAAAACTGGACCTTTCGAAGCTTGAACAGAAGCATGAGAGGAACCTCAGGAAAATCAATCCACCTCAAAATGGAACAGATGGTTAGAAAAAACCCACAAGCCACAATTCAGACTGCATATGACTCCTGTGCCTACCTCACTGTGGAAAACGATACATCTGCTTCAATGTAAGCTTCATTTGTGTACTTTGCTAGGAACGACTTGTAATGATGTGAGAGGAAAAGTGGAGACAACAAAGCCTGTTCTGAGAATCTGGGCACAGAGACCACAGTCAAACCACGCTAGCCTGCAGCAGGGGTATGTCTTTGGCCCGTTTTTGTTGTTCACTTTTATCTGGTTGTGCTGTTGTGGGATTTCTGGGGTAAGAAATGATGTAAGGCTGACATGGGAAGGTTAGATTGCACATACCACAATAAGAAGTCATCATTATACCCCTGTTTCTGGTTTCATGCTGTCCAAACTACAGTTACAGCTATGACAAGATGGTTGGAAGCAAAGGACAGCTGTATGGTTTGCAGGTTGTGTTATGCTTTCAGTCCCTGACTTCCAGGGCCGGCCCATAGGCGATTTCCTTGGGTTGACGGGGGGCAACCGCAATACAGGCGAAAGGGCACTTTATCATTAGCAGTTAAAGGAGCAGGGGCTTAAGGGGCCACAATGGCCAATCATAGGTGTTTCAGTTAGTCCGAGTATCTAAACTCTCGCCTAGGTCACCAACCGAGCCTGGGACAGCCCTGCTGACTTCAGAGGTGAACAGTGCTTTAGCATGACATGAAAATAATGTTATTATATGAAATTAAATTGTAAACATTGTTGGATGAAATGTCTGCAGACCCCAATAGTCTTCACTGGAATAGGCGAGGTCACAAAAATGTCTTTGTTTTCCAAAACATTAATACTTACTACTAAACACTTGGACAGAAACCTTTAATTTTATTACAATGTAAAATATATTATCTGGATTTCTTTTACACACTCATGCTTAGTTGTAACTGTGCATGAATTGTTCACATTGTTGTCCCAGTGATTCTTAGAAAACAACATGTTGCCTCAACAACTTTAGTTTATTAGACAGAAGGGATGACCCCTGACCCCTGTCACTTTATGATTTGCACTGCAATAAGATGAGTTTGAACACTGACTTAAATCAAGTTTTCAAAGCATTAGTGAAGTTTTACTTTATATTTTGTATTTTGGCAAACAGTCTCTTCTTTGTACTTTTTCCATAGAGGAAGTTGTGTGTGGATCGGAAGTTCTGATGGGCTTTATCTGCTTGAGCTGGATACTTCAGAGCTTCTCAAGATTCTTCCACTCAAAGGCATAATAGGTTTTCACTAAACTCTTGGAGATACTTGAACATGTTTTAGATCCTATTTGACCTGTTTTTTGTTTATTTATTAGTAGAAAATGTACACTTAAATAGCATAAATATAATACAAATAAATGCAACAGTAGGTTATAGTGATCAACCATTTGAATGTTATGCATTGTACAACAAGGCACATTCAGTAAATGGTAGATAAATAATTTTCAGCATAACCTAACCAATCTTGTGTCAGCGGGCTCGTATGAGGAAACCATTTCAGTCTTCTAACTTGGAGTATTCCAGGATTATGAAACTTTAGAACGTCATTGTGTAAGTACTTGTACACTTAATGATAACATTGGTAAAATCTTGCAACCTCAAAACAAAATTCACCTCAAAAATATGTATAAACATCATGATTTACTTCATAACAAATGGCTTCCTAGGAATACAATTGAACAGTGAAAAAGTCACCATCAATATAAATGCTTGGGTTTCTGAGGGTTAAGAATGTCTGTTTGTCTTTCAAATACACTAATTTCTCATATGGTTGCGTAAACTGCTAAGACTAGTCGCACAAGTTAGACATCAATATTTTTCTTCAAGACTGATCAAAACTGATAACCCCTATCTAACTGCTAGTTGGTCAAATTAGTTCTACCAGAAAGACAGACAGAAGTCAAATAAGACTTGAATAAGATTTATTTAACAGTTGTTTGCAAATTAGTATCAAATAGATGAAATGATAAAGTTCTTTGGCGTAGGCCCCGTCCATAATCCAAATCCGGAGGGTAGCAGATGCCTGCAGCTCTTGCCTGAAGATGGAGGCAGGGGCGGAGCCTACCCCCGATGGACGGACAGGGAACGACCTGGTGGTGGTGGGGAGGATGGTTTATAAGATTTCTAGCACAGGTTGTCAGGTTTTGATTTTTTTTATCTGTTGGTATTTGATCGAATCCATGATGCCATGTATCTCCAGGACCTCTGCCAGAAAATTATGCCCACAGCAATAAAGATACAGCGGATTATTTCATTTTACACATTGGTACTTCCATCCCTGTGAACCAAACCCATCTTAAGTGTTTCCTGCCAAAAAAGCTCTGACTATAGAACCTTTGGGCCTAATTTCCTGCCAGAGGTCCTGGAGAGCTTGTTCAGATACATGGCATCATGGATTCGATGAAATACCAACAGATAAAAAATCAAAACCTGACAGCCTGTGCTAGAAATCTTATAACAGGCCATGTTTGGATCTCAAATTCAAAACAAAAATGGGTCACTGAGCACAAAACCAAGTATCCGCAATGGCCGTCCCAGTCTCCTGACCTGAACCCTATAGAAAATGAGTGGGCTGAACAGAAAAAAACAACAACATGGATCTGGGAATCTGAAGGATCTGGAGAGATTCTGTATGGAGGAATCATCTCTGATCTCTTGTCAGGTTCTCCAAACTCATCAGGCATTAAAAGAGAAGACTCAGAGCTGTTATTGTCAAAAGGAGGTTGCAAAAAAGTATTTAATAAAAGGGGGCAAATAATGGTTCCAATGTGTTTTGGAGAAAAACATTGATTTCATAAAGTGATTCCCCCCATTCAAAGGTTAAACAATGCAGATTTATTTTTTACAGCCATCTTTGATCATATTTACGAAGGGCAAATAATTCTATACTTGACAGGAGTATCACTCGACAGGAGTATACAGGTTAACGAATGATGTGACATTAGTGTCTTATGCAACTGGCCCCTGGTTAAACACTCAGAAATACAGTAGTCATTAAATATTTGCCTGGTTATCTCTAAATCTAAATTCAGATCTTTTGGAGTTTTTGCATTTTCCCCTGACAGGTGACCTTAGCATTTCAATAGCAGAATCATGGGCCATCACCCATGGACATGGTGGCAATGTAAGTACTGCATTACATTTTTGGTGTCTGTAAAAGAATGCATTGTGTATACAAATACAATATTTGATTGATTTACATTATTCCATGTCTGTACAGCTCTTGATAGATTCTATGATTTTTTTTTTTAACAGAATAAATTTCCATAATACAGGCAAACTGTGAGGATCACCTTCATAGAAGTCCTATAGGCTACTTGCTATTTTTTTTTAATGATTCCCATAGTTAACCTTAAGCCACTCTAGAGCTCAAATGTATAGCACCTTTGGTATTTTTACAGCCCTGCAATTAGCAGTTTACAGTTTCTAAAAGCCCGGATTATTTAAGATGTAAAGTTTTTACAAGATTTGACTGTGGTTTGCATTCTGGGAGGAAAGTTGCCTGTGTACGACACAGTATAAGGACTACCCTCATCCTCTCTCTCTTTCTGGTTAGATGTGTTGTTTGGTGTCCTCGCTATTCGGGAATTCAGTCGTCCTTTTTGAGGTGAACAGTGCCTGGCTGGACGAGCTCTGCTTTAGGATGGCGAAGAGCTTCTCTGTGGAAGAGCATCTTTCAGTCGTGCCCAGGTAGCAAAACGTATCTTTCAGCCATTGGTCAGGAGGTTCTTGGATTAAGGATATGCAGGGTATCATTTTAAATAACATCCAGGAATAATATACTCATTGTTTGATTTTGGTTTTTGCTAGAACTATCTTTAGTAGATATATTGTCTGTTCTTGATGAGCCAACTACCACAATGGAAAATTCTTTATTTTGTTATTTCCAGTAATAGAAGTTTATTCATGTTGTTTTCCCCCCCGCTTGATTTTCTGCTTTTTTTTCCTTTATATTCACCATTTTTCAGCTCTCCTCTGATGACTATGTCCCCTCTGAATGCTGAGCTGGCAAAACAGGACCCAAAACCTCAGAGAAAAATAGGTTGGAGTTCACAAAACCACAGGCACACACACACGCACACACACATTTTTGCCAAATAAAGAAAACACCACCTTTGGTGGCATTTTAGCGTTATTGACACCCCTCTAAGGTATAATTTATGAAGCTAACGAATACTGTCCAAGATGTTACTCTTTCTAGCCTGGCGAAAGTTCTATACCACAATAAAACTTTTCAAAAGAAAGTTGTCATTAGGCACAGCAGCGTTCTTTATAGACTGCAGTTTGAGATATTTCGGTTTATTTGAAATACTTTTGAATCCAATAAAAATGTCACTCTTAAATATGTATCTTCATAAAACAGTCTGATGCCATCTGGTGTCTGAAGTCACACAGATACTGAGGTTTGATAACCACAGAATAAAGAGACACTATGTCCAACATCAAATCATTCTGGGGTTTTTTTTTTCAGTACCCTATTTATTTTGTAATATTGTAATTCACCCAAAAATGAAAATTAAGTCATTGATGACTCTCATGTTGTTCCAAGCCCGTAAGATCATCTTCAGAGCACAGTTTAAGATATTTTAGATTTAGTCTGAGAGTTTTCTGTCCCTCCATTGAAAATGTATACATGGTATAGCTACTGTCCTTGTCCAGAAAGGAAATAAAGACATCATCAAAGTAGTCCATGTGACATCAGTGGGTTAGTTAGAATGTTTTGAAGCATGGAAAATACATTTTGGTCCAGAAATAACAAATACTACAACTTTATTCAGCATTGTATTGTCTTCCGGTTTCTGTTGTCAATCCTCATTCAGTGACGCTGGTGACGTAAGATGCTGTTGACGTGTTATCAGTGCGCCCGAGCTTCGTTCACAGTCTGAGGGAGACGCACGCTGTAAACAAAACAGTCCTCGCAAACATGTCTAAGGATTTCCACACAGAGGAAGACTTGCATTTTTTTGCCCAGTCATATTTATTTGAACCGAATACATGGATGCACCAGATACATGTCAGCAGCGTCTTAAGTCACCAGCGTCACTGAACAAGGATTGACAACAGAACCGGAAAAGAGTACAAGAATACAATGCTGAATAAAGTCGTAGTTTTGTTATTTTTGGACCAAAATTTCTTTAAAAAACATTCAAACTAACCTATGTCACATGGACTTCTTTGATGATGTCTTTATTTCCTTTCTGAACAAGGACAGTATACCATTTATACGTTTTCAATGGAAGGACAGTAAACTCTCGGACTAAATCTAAAATATCTTAAACTGTGTTCTGAAGATGAACGGGGGTCTTACGGGCTTGGAACGACATGAGGGTGAGTCATTACTCGCATAATTTTCATTTTTGGGTGAACTAACCCTTTAACACATGACCATGGTCTTAATTTGCATGATTCATCACTGCCTATTATTCAAAAGGCTAAAATAAAATAAATGTGGTAGCGTGTTTGTAAAGTTTGAAATTAAATAAACTGACAAAATTTGCTAAAAAAAAATACAGAAACAACAGTAATATATCTGGCCCACATACTGACCTACAGTAGTACTTCCATTCTCTCTCCTATTCTCACAATTAAAATGAATCAAAGAAATTCTAAAATACTTTTTAAAGCTCTTTTATTTCCTTGCCAACACTTATTTTTTTAGTTTGTGTTTTAACTGAATAATGATTTGTATACGTTTCATAGATGTAAAAGCAATCCATCATCATCATTTCTCTTTTTCCCTTAAGGGAGGCTCTTCTTCCATCTCCATCTGGGCATTATTCCTCTTCCTTTCTAGAGTTACATATCCTCAGAGGTTTAAATTTATTCCATAGCTCTTTCTGGGGCCTAAGTCAATACCATAACTAGGACAACTCATTTTCTCCCTACTGCTGGGGTTTGACATGCACTAGCCAGGATCCAGCAGTGTAGTCTGCGTGATTAAAGGTCTGATAACAGGCTGATCACTGTTCTCAGAACTGAGTAACATTCTTGAAGAATGGGTTATGTCAGGATGTGGTTTGTTGACAATGAACCGAAACCACTACTTTTCTTTGGTACACTGTTTCTGTACCATTTGCCAATGTAAAGTGAAACAATTTCAGATACCACAGAAATAAGTATGATGAGCTATGAAAGAATACTGTACGTGATTTCTTATTGCCTGAACTCATTACAGGAACTTTTATGTGTCCAAGATTTTTGCACAATAACGAATTTAACTGATTTTAATGTATTTGATGCCTTTAGGACAGGGGTGTCCAATCTTCCTGAAGTGGGCCACTACACTCCAGAGTTTAGCTCCAATCTTAATTAAACGCATATGAACCAACTAATCATGGTTTTCAGAAATACTAGAAACTTCCAGGCAAGCGTGTTGGGGTATGTTGGAGCTAAACTCAGCAGGACATTGGCCCTCCAGGAGCAGGACTGGACACCCCTGCTTTAGGAAGAAGTTGCATTTATAAGCCATTTTTCAGAATATACGTTTAGTCTGTGGTTGACAGAGGAACCGTTTTTGGAAAAGCGTGCATTAGATTTAATGGAGCTGGAAAAAATTAGTTCACTGAAGAGAAGGAAACTTGGAAAAATGTCAGTTCTTCAGGTTGTGATTTGTATCATATGACATCTTTTTCTACTGTAATATGACTTTTTATTTGAATATGTTCCTATTAGTATACATTTTGTGGTCAAAAATTCTTTAGTCAGGTAAAATGTACAGTCAACTGTGTAGTATCACAAAATAAACCCAAATAAAATTTTGCCATAATAACCAACTGACTGTACAGTATCAAGCAGAGCTTCTGACCAAATATATACATAAATATATGGGCAAGAAAGCAATATTTTATTATGTGAGTGGAAAGAGATCGAAGAGTAAAATGAGAGTTATGAAAATAGCTAAACAGCAGTTGGGTTATTATACTCTTTAGTAACCATCTATCAAATTATAGTGGTAGACTAGATATTGGTAGATCTTAAAGGGATAGTTCACTTTGAAATTAATTTTTGATATGTTTCAGCTTATCTCATGATGTAGGTGTCTTTGTTTTCACAGAAGTTTAAATTTTAGTAGTTTTAGGTCAAACCGTTCTTGTCTGTCAGTCATATAACGCCGGTATATGGGGTCCACCTCAAAGAGCATGCACAGAGAAGTCCAAATTAAACATGATTTAATGACTCGTAAATGTAAGTACACATTGATGGCCTGAGACACGAAACGAGCGGTTTGTGTGAGAAAACAAACGGTATTTATATATTTTTACCGTCTATGGTGACCATAGACCTGCATTATATGACAGACAGACAAGAACGGTTTGACTTAATCAAATATCAAAATTGAAAATACTGTGGAAACAAAGACACCTACATCTTGGATCCCCTTGAGGTAAGCTTAAACATACCCAAAATAAATTTCAAAGTGAACTATCCCTTTAATTATATGACTAAACTGTTCTCTTTTTGTCTTCTAGGTGTGAGCTGTCAGAAGAGTGTGAAGGATCAGGCTTTAGTTTTTCACACACAAGTGAAGTCATCAGGATACAATGCAGCTCCTCAGTAAGTCAGTTGACAGAGAAATACATTTTAGGGTCAAAACAGAAGTCTAACAAACTTCACAGTTTCAGGTTTGCATAGTTTCAGGCATTGAAAGTTGTAAGCTATCAAACTCCCTGTTGAGTACAACATTTAGAAAATGTGTGAAATTCATCCCTTGAAAGAGAAGAAGTTCTATAGAATTATAATAAACATTTTACTCATGCTGTGTTCTGGTAGCTTTAAAATGTGACTTACAGCAAATGACTCTAATTGTACTCTTACCTAATATCTTCCATGCTCTAACTTAAGAGTTTAATCTGAGGTCAATTGCATGATATTCATTTAAACACTGTTTAATTCTGTTTCCACGGAACCTACAGGCCTGCTCAGACTCACTTTACTGAAAGGCTTTTTTGTCTTAAGACTTTTTTTTTTGCTGTTGCAATATTATGTAGTGAAGGAACAAGAGGGCCTTGTAGAAGTATTTTTATAGGGACCATCTTAGTAGAATCGGTCTCATCTCAAAGCCGATCACAAATGTGGTTTCTGCATTGCTTGTGGCCAGTTCAAGTACCTTGTGGATGAAAACCTAGGGTATGTTCTATTGGGTTTTTTTCTTTTATAGTAGGACAATGTTTAGACCAAAGACCAACGTTAAGAAGAAAACCCACTCTGCCTCAACAACTAGCACAAACACGTAAGTATTCTGCCAGTTTAAGTACAGGGTCTCGAGAATGCAGCAGTGCTCGATAAGATCACTGTAGCTTCTGCTCAAATCTATGTGCTGTTTTTCAACAGAAAAGGCCTCTTAAATGAGTATCCATCACATTTTGAAGCACCAAGTATGCCTTACACTCATTTGATGGTTTCCACAACTCCAACCACAGTCAACTCTCTACAGTACTCCGGTATGGCCACACTAGGATTCAAGCATCTGAGATTTTTTATGGTTAATCTTCTTCAACACAAAGTGTAACCCTATAGCACTATAGAAACCTTCTGTAATTTTATTGGCTTAACATTGCATAGCACACAGTTTCTTTTCCAACTTCATGCATGACCAACATCACTTAATAGCAGTTGCTAACGATCATTTGCCTGTTGATTATTTGCATTTTTGGTTCTCCTGTGGTCTCACATAAAGATGCAATATTCTGTAGCAGCAGCAGCAAAGCAGAGCAGACTCCTGGAGTTAAACACAATAAAGTTGTGCACGCCTGTTTTTAAGAGTGCTGTAGCGCTTTTGTTTTAGCCTTTCGCCTCAGGAGCGTCATTTTCAAACTAATTATGCCTTGGGTTTTGTCTGTTAACTTTCTATTTTTTTGTGTCTAGGAGATGGAAAGCAGCTTGTGTGTGGTCTTGGAGACAGTTCGGTTTTGTTGTATAACTCTCCACTCACCGGTAACCCAGCTGTCTACACAGGTACTGGGAGAGCTTCAGATCTGTAGTGTTTATTTTTTGTAAAATTCCTTCGCATGTCTATTATTTTCATTTCCTGAATGAGTGGTGCGAAGGAATTGATTCAGTATTTGAATTTTTACATGCCATTCAGAGAGCGCAGCTGAAATTGATGCCATTTGGGGAATTCTGATATTTGAAGGCCCTTCTTGTCCCTGAAATAGACGTTCTTTTCATTGGACTAAGGATTGGTATAAACGTGGAAGAGCGTAACAACAGTTCACACATGTGTTGCAATTTATATATATCAAAATATACCTACATATTTTTGTGTGTTTTCAGCTCCTGTCACTCAATTGTTCATGTCATTTCAATAACAGATTTCCAGTCTTCATATACTTTTTTGTGGAGAGTTTTAGACAGGAATGCACTGAAATGAAATCTCTGAAATGTTGTCTTTATAATTTCAGGCTTGTTTTTTAGTTTCATAGTATAGTTTCATATCTGCCTGCATAGTTTTAGTAGAGGGTTCCTTGCAAGGGGTCATTTTTGAGGATCTTGGCTTCAGAATTTTAAACTAGAGATATGTTGTTCCTCAATTGACTGTTGTTTTCTGTTTCTAGGGCACAATAAGGCTGTGAACACTGTTTGCTGGAGTCATAGTAGGCGGTGGTTTTTGAGTACGTCTGAGGACCCCACCCTTTGCATCTGGACTGCAAGTGCTTCTGAACCTGTTCTGACCATGGTAACGTATCAACAATTAAGCCAACTTCCTCTACAGTCCTTGCTCTGACATGAGCAATTTAAAAGGTTATATTAGTTCTGAGCTTTTGCAGTACCTATAATTATAGTCAAGCCCAGTACAGAGTGAACAACTGAGCAAAGTATGTGAAGAAAAGTTTTATGATTCAAGAAATGAATTTGCATTTGAATGCGTGCTCCTGTGAGAAGTGTTTGCCTTGGCAGTATTCCTCTGTTGGAACATCAAAGGCATCAGTGCAGTCCCGGTCAGCACAGACTCTAAACACTTGCAGACCTCTCTAAACCCTTATTTCACTCTTTCCCAGAACTCCCAACACAACTGATGTTCATTCAAATCAGTTTTCTTCAGTCACAATCTGGCTTACAGTTTCTCTCTGGTGTCTTCCCAACCCAGTCTTCAAGACTTGTGCACCTGTGTGTGTGTGTATCTGTGGTGCCAAATATGACCCAATGCATCAGTGTTTGTGTCATGTATATTAAAGCAACACTAAGCAAGATTTTTTACCTTAAAATAATGTTTCCAAAATCATTTCAGTGGTTCTTTAAGTCGTAGCAGGGTGAAAGGCACTTCTGGATTTGCTTTGCAGTCTTATATCTGCTATATCCACGCAATGTAAGATTGCCAGATCGGGTTGCGTTTCTGTAGTTTTAATGAGACACAAGTAAACTACAAATTTGACTTGCTTTACGTCAAGCGCTACAATAGTCATTATTTTGTTTTTCTTTGTTTCTGATGTCGCAATACATCATACTTTCATGAAACCATGCAACATACTCTACCTTGTCTGTGGTCATCATTCGTTCTAAAGCCCGTGCTGGATAAACAACGAGCGTGCGTGCGACAGTAGTATGCATTAGGCTAAATTATTTACGACAGTGGTAATGGACAATTCCGCTTCCAACCTGTAGGGTGACCGCAGAGAAAAAGTTACTTGGTGTTGCTTTAAAGGAGCATTTCACCCATTTCAACATTAATCTTTATTGAAAGTGGATCATATTTGTAGTCGAAATGTAAAAGAATTTTTCAATTTGGTGCCCTCTTGACCGAGAAAAGACAGAAAATAACTAAAATGTTTAAATGTTCGCCAGTTCCCGCCTCCTCCTTCCCACATCAACAAACCCCGTTAACGTTACATTGGCAAACTCGTTAGTAAATTACTCCTCGTTTGTATTAATTTCTATATGGTAAATTACTGCATGACACCTGGATGTTCAGTCAGGCGAAAGGATGGTTCACATCACAACACAAACGTCTGTGTGCTCGTCTGATTCAGAGATTTAGTTCAGGAGAAATTGCCATCGTTGAAATTCTCTGCAGTAGACGGACTCTATCTGTGTTTGTAGTTCACAGCGAGAGAACGGGCACCAGCAGTCCACCTCAGCTCGAGCCAGTCTGGGCTCTTCGACCGCGACAGGCAGCCGCCTCCTGTTCCTCCATCAGCCTCAGCCCCTCTTCACTATACTGCGACTCGTAAAGATAGCCACGAACATCGGATTCGAGCAGCAGAATTTCCATATCATGTTTAGTTTCTTCCGTCATTATCATACTTCTTATCTCCACAGCGCTTGTTAGCTTAGCTTCTAAACAAGATGGCTGACATATTCAGTAAGTGAAGTCCCACCCTCTGATGATCAGAGTCTGATCTGTAATAGGCCTGTAGGGTGAGTGGGTCCCACACCCTTGAATAATAATGAGCTAATTTTTGTAGTCTATAGAGATTTTAATGACGAAATAACGATTTTTACGTCTTAATAAGCAGGAAGTAAAACACTTAAATCCTTATTTCTCCCATCTCAGGGGAAAATAAGGGAATAAACCATGGCCATTCAGAAATATGACTGGGTTTCTAAAGATACAAAGCTTAATGCAAATGGTTTAAGTGTCCCTTTAAAGAGAAAATCCCCAGTCTGCAATAAGAAACAGAGCTAATTAATGTTGAAAGCAGAGTATAAATACATTATAGGAGTTTTGGCTTGAAAAACACTCAAGTAAATATCCAAACAAACGAGGACAAATGTTTGGCAAGCACATTGCAGACAAGGAGTCAAGGTTTGACTGGTAGCATAAAAATATGTAAGAATACTGTACATATATTTTTTAAATAGCATAATAAAAGCAGACAGTTTACACTAATATCGCCCCTTGTGGTAGTGGTGATAATAGAGCACATAGTTGTGCACATTTCGGAAGGCAACAATGCATTAAATCATGAGCTAGAAACTACATACATTTACGCACTTGCATAAACTAAATATCCAGTTGCACTCACCAAATTGTCTCTAAATGACTTTCAATAATGTCATATTTTCCAGACAGAAAAAACAGCATTCCTATGTTCCTCTATCCTCATTTATCTCTTCACACTCCATCTTTGGTAAAAAGAGAGAATGACTGAGATCTGGATATTTTAAACTGATATGGTTCTATAATTTATACAATGTGACATATGAATGCACTTAGCACTTATTTAAAGGCTATTAATAAACTGTGATGTTGATGTGAATTACTGACTGTCTATTTATGCACTGTTTGTTTAACTTCATGCTTTTGCAGGTCACAAAGCCCATCAGAACGGCTCAGTTTTATTATCTGGACAAGTTTTTACTGCTGGCGTCAGGATCAAATCTAATGTTGTACCTTTACCATCTGGACACCACAAGAGATGACATCAAGAGGTACCGGGCACACACACAAGCAGTTAATAAACAGTGACCTGATTATATAGACAGTTAATTGACAGTTTACCCTGCATTTACCCTTGCTCACTGTCTATTTTTTTTTTTAAATAGACGGTGAGCAAGGGTAAACGCAGGGTAGTGATGACTGTACTATAAATGAAGATCTGGTCTGACAAAAGCAAGGTTCAGTTCGAGGGATGTAAAAACTGAAATGGTGCCAGGTGATAAAATGTATAACCATATATCAAAATCCTAGTTTAACACTGTTTAATATTACATATACCTACTTCAGGCTTCCTGCTGTGTAGAATTTCGGTGTATTTTTTGATTGTGGTCATGGTCATAGTATGGATGTCTGTTCTAAAGGGCTGAGTTATCGTCAGTGGAGAATCCATGAATTATTTCTGAAGAATCTGAGAAGAAACCCTATCTTTAAATGCTTAAGCACAAGTGTTGGGGAATCCCTGGAAGAGATGGAAATTAAACATGAGCCAGATATTGCACATCATATTCTATTTTTGATGGAACATCTTCTATCCCTCTCACAGAGAATAATTATGTGCACAGGACCTTTTTCAGCATTGTGCTACTCATATAAAGACTGTACTGTACCTTTCTTTTTTTCCTTAATGTTTCTCTAAAATGGTCCACATGCAATCACGGTTGATAGTGTTAAAAGAAATGTGGGAGTCGGTAAGAATTTATAATGTTTTTGAAAAGTCTGCTCACCGAGGCTGCATTTATTCGTTCAAAAATACAATGATATTATTGTGAGTTATGTTTAATTTTTGCCTGACTTACCATGAGATATTATTACAATTTAAAATAACTGTTTCCTATTTTAATATATTTTTAAATTGTCATTCCTGTAACGGCAAAACTGAATTGTCAGCAGCCATTACTCCAGTCTTCCGTATGATCCTACAAGAAATCATTTTAACATGCTGACTGGTGTTTTTTCAAGAAAAAAAATCTTATTATTTATTATTATTCTTATTAACTGCTTGAACTTCTGAACTTAAACTTCTGAATGGTAGTATAGTATTTCATTTCAGGATTAAAAGGAGTGTGCTACCTATGCTTACAATATTTGCACATCAGGCTCATTTCCACAGTGCTACTGCAATGCTTTGTTATTATCCATAGAAACAACATTTATATTTCAGAATCATAATTTTTTTGTTTAAAAAAATGTTTGCTCTTCCTTCTTCTATAACACAGGTATAAGCAAAGAAGCAAGTCCAAACTGGCTAGTAAATTTTGCATGAAATCAGGAACAGACATTACTTCAATGTCAGCGATCAATGACTTCTACTCCTGTATCCTAAAAAAAATGAGTCTTGATTGGATTTCTTTAAAGGTGACAGGACTCAAGCTGAAGTGCAAGTTCAGTGTACCTCTTTAACCACAGATTTAATCAGATATCATCTTGGCTGCTGGCGCGGACCGCACCATCCAGGTGTTCGATATGAACCAGGGCTGTATAGCCACTCAGATACCCGATGCCCACAGTAGACCTGTCCACCACCTCACCCAGAACAAAGTAAGAGAATAAAACCACATGATGTCATTTCCCTTGTTCTTTTGAAATAAGGGATTGTTATATGTTGACCACTTGTTTCCCATCATTGTTTCTGAGGGTTCCCCAAACAGTACACATTTATATCACTCCCTTATCATACTTTATTCTACTCATCAACTCATTAGTAGCCTAAAGACTCCCAAGACCTAAAACAGGTGTGTCAAATAAGGGAGACATACACTGCTGTTCCAAAGTTTGGGATCTGTACGATTTTTAAAAGAAGTCTCTTCTGCTCATCAAGGCTGCATTTATTTGAATAAAAATTCAACAACAAAAACTGTAATATTATGAAATATTATGACAATTTGAAATAACTAAGAAGGAAACCCAAGGTCTAGGTTGGACCAAGGAGCAGGACCGGAGCACACAATGTTTTAAATGATTTTATCAGTACAAAATGAAGTTTTGCCATATATGCGTCTTCTTCAGAGTCAAAATGTCAATGGCAACAATGTACAGAATTTGTGGTGCATCAATTAACCAATCCTATACACGCACTCAGGACTAGACAAAAAAAGGCGAATTCAAATAACTGTTTTCTATTTTAATATATTTTTTAAATGTAATTTATTCCTGTGATCAAAGCTAAATTTCCAGCATCATTACTCCATTCTTCAGTGTCACATGATTATTTTAGATCATTCTAATATGCTTATGCTATTTGATGCTCAAAGAACATTCATTATTATTATCAATGTTGAAAACAGTTGTGTACAACAGTATAAATGTCTTTACTGTAGCTTTTAATGTTACAAAAGCTTTCTATTTCAGATAAATGCTATTCTTTTGAATAAAGAAAAGACTGGAGTAATGATGTGAAAAATGCAGTTAAGTTCTTCAAAATAGTAATAATATTTCAGAATAATACTGTTTTTACTGTATTTTTAGCACATTAATGCAGTCTTGGTGAGCATAAGAAACTGTTTTCAACACATTATTTAATGGCTAACCTTTGAATGTTCGTGTATATTATAAATCAAGGGCAAGTATGAACAACCAGCCTTTTACTCAACCCTCTAAACCTTGGTTTGTTGTGACCACCAAGTGACCAGTGCCCTTTTCACTCAGAATTTTCTGACCTCAGTGGTCATTTATAAGATTTACACGACTCAGTACTGGTTCACACGACTCAATACTGGTGCTGTAACTCAAAAACCTTTGAGTTACAGCACTAAAATTGGAATTACAAACCACTTAAGCTGTTTGTGGGTTGTGTATGTATTTTTGTTGTGTGTCTGGACTGTGCTCTGGCTTCGTTGTAAACCCAAAGTAATATGCTGTGCTTCTGACTCACTTTGCTCTTGGGTTAACCTCATAGCCGTTACAACTGATGAAGTCACTTTCAGAAACAATACCAAGGAAATACTGACTGAGCCCTCATCTTAAAGATAATTATAGTTAATGAAGCTGATTGGATGAGTTTTGTTCTCATACTAAGGGGAAATGGGGCCCATACTAATACTACCGTCCACACCCAGATATTACTTTATTCAGGATTCTTTAAACAGGAGCTCAGTGTAGTCAGGAAGAAGTAGATTATTCTGAATATCCAAATTCAACCTCAACCTTAAAGTGTGGAGTCCTTGAAGGGAGTGAAAGATAATGAACAGATTCAGCTTGTGTTGTGTTAAAGAGTTAGTTCACCCACAAATGAAAATTATGCGAGTAATGACTCACCCTCATGTTGTTCCATTCCCGTAAGACCTCCTTTCATCTTCAGAACACAGTTTAAGATATTTTAGATTTAGTCCGAGAGTTTTCTGTCCCTCTATTGAAAATGTATACACAGTATACTGTCCTTGTCCAGAAAGGAAATAAAGACATCATCAAAGCAGTCCATGTGACATCAGTAGGTTAGTTAAAATGTTTTTTAAAAGAAATTTTGGTCCAAAAATAACAAAACTACGACTTTATTCAGCATTGAATTATCTTCCGGTTCTATTGTCCGTGTAAAATGTTGTTATTTTTGGACCAAAATGTATTTTCGATGCTTCAAAACATTCTAACTAACCCACTGATGTCACATGGACTACTTTGATGATGTCTTTATTTCAAGGACAGAATACCGTACATACATTTCCAATGGAGGGACAGAAAGCTCTCAGACTAAATCTAAAATATCTTAAACTGTGTTCGGAAGATGAACGGAAGTCTTACGGGCTTGGAACGACATGAGGGTGAGTCATTAATGACATCTTTTTCATTTTTGGGTGAACTAACCCTTTAACAAGTTCATTTTCCAAACCAAATTTTCTCTGCAGTTTGGCACTCCCATCCTCCCTTATATAAGGCCTTTTGGAACGTTATGCAAGAAATTATGTCTTCTTCATTGAAGGATAAAAGTTGACCGTTTTAGTTGGGATAATCCAAACCACAGTTGTGTGAGGTTTTCCACGGTGGGCCTAAAGTTGTAGGCCTCGCGTGTCCCATTTATCTTGCCGAGTATCTTGGTCTAAATCCTTCAGGTTTACAGATTAGGACGGAAACATGAAATAAGAGGGAGGATCTCGCTTAAGCCAACTATGTTGGGTAAGCATATTCTGTATGTGAAGGGTGATGTTTTATGAGCATGCTATCCCTTTCCATCTGTGAAACTGTGTTGGAATGACATGAACTCCACTATTGCACTCCATTCACCTAAAAGTAAGATTAAGTCGCTTATGCTCACGAAGGCTGCATTTATTTAATCTTAAATATAGTGAATATAGTAATATTGTGAAATACTATTACAATTTTGTAATATTGTTTTCTATTTTAATATTTGTAAAATGTAATTTATTCATGTGATCAAAGCTGAATTTTCATCATCAATACTCCAGTTTTCAGTGTCGTATCATTCTAATATGCTGATTTGATGCTCAAGAAACATTTCTTTTTATTATTATTATTATTATCATAAGTTGAAAATGGTTGTGCTGCTTAATATTTTTTTGTGGAAACCATCAGGATTCTTTGTAACAATGTACAGAAAAACTCTTTACTGATCAATTTAATGATTAAAAGTTTTAATTTCTCTTGCTCTGAATTACTACTTACCAATTACACTAATGCTCTGACTTGATGAATTACTGCTGCGATGGTTGCTACAAAATGTACTGAAGCATTATTTTATATTTGTATGTTCAAAAATTTCATATCCGAAAATTCATACTGCCAGACATGTGAGATGCAACAGGTTAAAACTAAGGCTTTTGTAGGCTATATTGCCCTTACCGACCTCCGCCTTGAATGACGTGAGAGCAGTGTATCAGTGTAATTTGCAAATTCACTGCCCCAGATACTCCCCAGTTTGAGAGGGTCAACTGAGATTAGTTGGGTACACAAGTGGACAGTGGACTGGAATAACTAATCTAACGCAGTATAATGGTTTTAGCACTCTCCCACGTTCCCTGAGCGGCCACTTTCCATACCAGCATACCAACCTTCAGTCACGCTACACATTGTCTGCTGTACTTGTGAGTCTGATCTCTTCACAATAACACGACCTGGCTCTTACATACATATGGGATCCTCCAACAAGAAGCCCATGCTTTAGAGACGCCTAGAGGGATCAAGAGAGCTGATCACTGGGAATTCCTGCCAGCTGTGAATTAGCTACAACAAAACCTTTTCTCTTCTCAGCTTCTCCTCCGTGGGCAACATGTTCCTCTTTCTAAAGCTACATTCGCAGAGAATATTTCTGATGGTGTAAGTAATCACACAGGACACTTTAAACCATCTTTATTTGTGTTAAAGCAGGGGAGAGATGGTTTGACTGGTCTTCCACTATGTATGACAAACATTTCCATTCTGTGAACTTTTTTGGCTTTTCGAGAGAACTTCAGTTCTGGAAAGTCTGCACGCTTTCAGCGTACACGTGCAGCTTGTTTGCTATCTCCTGCCAAATTCATGTCTCTTTCTATGACCGGTCAACAGCTGACAACTAAATTTAACAAGGATGCCGCAAACATGTATTTATTTAGGATAGTAGTTTTGTATACTTTAGGTACTTTAGACCAAATAAATGTCATGTGCTCATCTTTCTTGCAATCAGGTACACCACCATTCAAAAGTTTGAGATCAGTACGGTTTTTTAAATAATGTAATTTATATTTTAATTCAGCAAGGATGAAATTCATCACGATTGTCACAAAACAACTATTTTATTATTAATTGATTATAATAATAAATGTTTTGTGAGCACCAAATCAGCATATTAGAATGATTTCTGAAGGATCACGTGACACTGAAAACTGGACACTGATGCTGAAAATGTAGCTTTGCCATCACGGGAATGAATTACATTTTAAAATCAGATTTTTTTTAAATTTTATATTATAATTTTTTATTGTAATTTAATCAAATAAATTCAGTCTTGGTGAGCCCTAACTTTTGAACAGTTGTGTATAATTATAATTGCAGCTCACAGATTGATTGAACCACAAGTAAAACTTTAAAAAAGTTACTATATTCTCTCTTAATATCATGCAAGACAATGAACATTTGTCCTTTAGTATCTTCTGTATGTCCTCATAGTTGTTTCCCCATTCAGGATATTTGATTTTCCATTTATTGTGCCAATTTCTTTTGGTGTGATTCTTTTCTCTGTTTCTTTTATTGCAGGGGTCCTTGTTCTGTTCACAGACCCTGGAATCATACAATCTCTTCCTGAGCAGTGCCATAACGGACGGTCTGAAATTGTGGGACCTGCGCACAGCTAGGTAGGCCCTTCATCTCCTTTCCCTGGCTTTCTGAGACCTTTAGAGGGCAAGACTGCATAAATGTTGAATTATGCAATTATCTTTTAATAAATATTACAATATTCTAAAGATTTAGTTAGCTGCCATGCTTAGGCTTACAGAACATTATTATAAATCACCTTTGAGCTGACGATGAAATGTGCCATTTTAAAATTTATGATGATTTAAAATTGGCTTTTGAGTAATTGGCCATCTACAACATATGTTGCTCAAGTTCTGTTTTTTCCAGCATACATTTTCATGCCCTCACTTCAGTGAATTGCTGATTACACATCCTTCAGAGAAGTGAATAACAGTCAAATCCCAGGTTGTTTATTGGCTTGCGGGATACTACCATTACCTAATGCCCTTAAGATCGTTCAGAACAACCAGGATTAGAGGCAGTCAGAAAGGTACATACATCATTTAAACGAAGAATCCAAAATTTCCAGATTCTCTAGAAGCTGAGCCTGCCCCGACCCTCTGCCAAAAGGACTCTGGAAAGAATTCCCTCCCTGCAGTTGACCTAACAGTAACCACTCTGCTTTATGTGGAGCGAATTCAGCAATGCTGTTTCTTTTACAGTCCCTCGTTGGTCTATAAGACCAAGTTTAAATATATTGATAAATAGACACTGAAACCAGCGCTATCTGAAAAATAAACCTTGTGATACATCCAAATGTAATATTATTTGAATTTGTTCTAGTTCAAAATGATTTTTGTGCTTGTATTGTGCTAGTGTTTTCTTATCTATTTATCCTTTGAAAGTAATAGAACATAATGTCATCTTTTCACCCATTATGTTATAAACACATTTTTCAGAGTTTTTAGAGTCTGGAACTTTAAGCGCACTTTTCTGTCCTGTTTTTTTTTTTTTCTTTCCTTGTAGGAAGACAGATTAATCAGAAATTATTTCTTTAATTTGACAGTTCACTCAAATTATTTTGTCATAATTTAGGCACCCTAATCTTTTATCAATTTTGTATATACAGTATATACCCAGACCTATTCGCTTTCATAATATGGAAAAGAGTGGTCAGGATATTCTACAAAATAAAAAAATCAACTGTTCCACACTGGCTTGGAAAAACAGAGATTAGTGATGGAGTGGGAGATTGATGATGACAGATTTTTATTTTTAAATGGCTTGTTCCTTTAAGAACACTCACGTAAATGCATCAGGGTGGAAAAAGCATTTTGGACTCATTTGACGTCCTGTGAAGGTAGAAACAAAAGTAGAATAGTGACAACAACTGCAGCCTGCAGGTACAGGAATCTGTGGAAAAAGTTCCAGACTCTGAACAACATATTGCTGTTCTTAGTGACATTCTGCATGTGATCCTCTCCATTCAGTTTTATTTCCCTTGCAAGGACAGCTGAAGTAAGTGATAAAAGACTTGTCTTGACTTTTAATTCCCTCACTTTGTGAAATGGTATGAATTGCTTCTATACTTATACATCCTTTATTCTATTATGCTTGGATCTTAGATCTTCCTGCGCTCACTTGAAAACTCAAGAAAGTGTCAAATACTTTTTACTTGCCTTTATAAATATTTGCACAGAATTCCAGGTCAAGTTCTGGTCAGGAGCATAACAACTTCATCCATCCCTGCAGAAACTAACGTCTTTAACGAAGCATGCATTCTCTGCTTTAAAATAAAAGAGTTTGATATGTTATGCAAACATACTGTACGTTTCACAACTGACACTGTAATACCGAGAGAAAGCTATCCGAAAGCATTCCCATTCATCTCAATGGCAGTTTTTCTCCTGCCACATGATCCCCCTGAAGTATGAACTCTGCTATTGCTAAGTCGAATACTGCAATTTTTCCCATGAAATCACAATTGAGCCAATCACACTGTTTTTGAGCCAATCACCTTAGTTGTAAAAAAAAAACATGTGACTAATCACTCTTGAGCCGCAGGAAAATGGTGTCACTCATCACACTTGCTGGATAGAATATTTTCTTACTTCTTTGAAGGATTAGTGCAGTGGAAAAGAGAAAGGAAAATTGTCTCAGGGAGGAAACCATGAAAAACACTTAAGACAAAATACTAAAGATAAATGCAGGTGAAACACGGGAAACATGGATGGGAGCATATGTAAGAATTAGTGACATCATTTGTCTGCAGTCATTGGCGAACTGAGGTCTGGCAATGAAGTCTTTCGGGCGCAAGCCATTTTATGTGTATTTTCCACTTTTCCAATGGCTGGCTCTTTAACAATGCTCCAACTTCAAGCACGTGAAATGGATTTATCTCCCCCAAGACTTCATTTAAAGCACGAGTCACATCCTTCCAAAGGCCAAGACAAAACCTTCAGCCAAAAGCCAAGGAGCTTTGGAAGACTGAGGCTTGTGATCGTCCACATCACCGTTCTCTACCTGTTCTGGGACTGAATGTTTTGCGTATGACAATGAAAATGCTTCCTTTATAGGTATACAGTAGTATATTGAATTTCAGACTAAGAGGGGAGCAGCTGCGGCCCTCTGGATTTTGAATTATGTATAAGAAATACTGAAGTGCTTCATGATGACTTCCTAAAATCTTTTTATGAAGCATCACTCTGTCTTCAGCTGCACAGGAGGTCAGGGCACCGCCGGTGGGACCCCTGGTACTCAGTCAACACATTGTTAAAGCACTTTTCAGTGTTTGTATATCCTACATTTATTTCTCTCTGCCATCTTTTAAAAAGTTTTATTAGTTATTTATTGGTGAATTGGTGTTGATACAGTGTAAAAAGTAACTTTCACTTTATTTATTTATTTATTTATTTTAAAGTAAGTGTTCATACTGCCTTACAATTTTAAGTTTAGTCAACTTGAAATGTGGAGTTCTATAAATGACAACTTAAATTCAGGAAAGCTACTCCAACGCTAAATTTTAAGTTGTGATAGCTAATTACAACAATATATTTTACATTGAACAATTAATTACAGGTAATATGATGTAACCTACAGAAAGAATCCTCAAATCAATCAGTAAAGTTGATTCTTTTTCCCTCAGAAGGCAGCCATCATGGTGATGTCCCCAGGCAGCTTTTTTATAGTCATTCAAGCCCACCCCTTGAAAAGGGTATGACCAAAGTCAGAGAAGATGCTGTTATGTGGTTGTTAGCACACTTCTAGTTGCTAGAGTGTTTTAGATGACTGTTGGTGGTTACTGCTTGGTATTTTCATTCTGATTTTTAAAGGTGCTTGCAAAATCTGTGGTGGTGGCTCTCCTGTTGGCATTCTGTTTGTTTCCGCTCTGGTTGTTGACTAAATGTGAAGAAAATACGTGGGCTTTACACAATAAATTTGTTTATTCTTGCTCTTAAAGCATAATCTTTCCTTGTAATGAGAAGCAGATTAACCTTGCTTGTACAGAATGGGAATTGAGACCCAGATACTCAGAAAAGCACTCTAGATTCATTAAGGCGTGCAGAGCAATCAGAGTGAACATAACAACCGACCTCATGTGATGAGCAAGGACCTCAGGCAAGCTCTTCCATGATGTGCCATGATTTTCCTGTTGCAGTCCAATTTATTTTAACCTTTATATTATTGTCTTTTGAATTTTCTAGTTATGTCTATGCCAGTTTATTTTTTAGCTTTTTTTTAATTTTTATTGCATAGACAGAAACAGCATGCTTTGGCAGTCTATGTAGTCTCATTAAAAGAGTTAATTTATTATGGTTGTGCTTCTCCATGAAGGCTGATGCTATGGCTAGCATTAATTCAATTTATATGCCCCTTTTTGTGACTTCCATAATGGCATAATGATCTCATTAGGGTTAAGCTTTACGGGTAATTTCCCATCTGTGGATTTTGAAATAGCACTTTTTAGTTTGTGGATGCTCAAAGTGCAGACCCAAAATTCCCAATGAATGTGCTTGTGTTACCCACATTGACCCAGAAAGCTGTCCTATGATTAGCCTTAAATATTTACAACATATTGGCAAATGGTTGGTCAATATGGAATTCAACAATTCACCAAGGAAATATATATATGTACTGTATATATAATGTTACCCGCATCATTTAGCATAAACTAAAAGAATGCAGGGAAATGTGGTCTAGCAATTGCAAACAAAGCCCCTAGCATGGAAGTAATGACGTGAAGCATCATCTCACATTAATTTACAAAGTCCCTCTGCAACACATGATGAAACATTGATCCTAACTGTTTGATAGGACCTTCAGAGAAATCACTGGCTCCAGATATGTTGCCCTACTCCACTAAAAATTATTTTGAGTATTTGGACTGCACAGTGTTCCAGAAGATGGTGCTGTATGTTGCTTTGAATGAGTGGTATTTATTAAATGAATATTTACATTCTGAAGGAGATGATGTCTACAGAGAGACACAAAAGAAGGCCTGGAAATGAAAAGCTGATTTTAAACAGATCCACTTTAAGGAATGATGACTTTCCTGAGTGGTTTTTCTTTCTTTCAGATAACTATTTCTGACTGGTCAAGTCAAGTGTGAATATTGTGAAAGTGTTCAAATTTGTTAAAGGAGTAGTTCGCTTTTTTTTAAAAAAACTTTTGCTGATAATTTACTCACCCCATGTCATCCAAGATGTCCATCTTTCTTTCTTCAGTCGAAAAGAAATAAAGATTTTTGATGAAAACATTTCGAGATTTTATCCATATAATGGACTTCATTGGGAACCAAACAGTTCAAGGTCCAAATGAGAGTTCAGTGCAGCTTTAAACGACACCAGATGATGAATAAGGGTCCTATCTAGGACCCTTCGAGTCATGAATCGAAAAAATATTTGTTAATTTTGATGAACAAATTTGAACAGGAGAGTCACGAACGCTCATCATAGAACAGAGCAAGGCGAGCATTTGAGCTTATAAAAGTTAATCTTTTTATGTATTTTTGAAATGACCGATTGTTTCGCTAGATAAGACCCTTATTCATCATCTGGTGTTGTTTAAAGCCCTTTGAAGCTGCACTTAAACTCTCATTTGGACCTTGAACCGTTTGGTTCCCATAGAAGTCCATTATATGGAGAAAATCCTGGAATGTTTTCATCAAAAACCTTAATTTCTTTTCGACTGAAGAAAGAAAGATATGGACATCTTGGATGACATGAGTTTGAGTAAATTATCAGCAAAAGTATTTATTTATTTATTTATTTTTTTAAAGTGAACTACTCCTTTAATAGTCATTTATACTGTCTAGATATGTATTTTCCAGCTGCTTTAGGGGCAAAGGAGTGGATCCTATTGGATAAATATTTGAATTAAAGCATAATGGGCAAAGCTGGGACACTTAAGCGTATGGTAAAATGTAAATGTGGCACATTGTAGAATTATTCACAAATATCAACTAATTAATATCTCTTTCTATCTTTCTCTGTTAGGTGTGTTCGCCGCTATGAGAGCCAAGTTAACCGCTGTCATCACTGCACTGCGGCCTTCTCACCCTGTGGTCGTTTTATAGCTACTGGCTCGGAGGACCATTGTGTGAGTTCATTACATCTTTTGCTACAATGTCCTGGAACCCTCGTCTCCGTCTCTTTCAGCTTTGTTTATTGAGAATAGTTTCTTCTTACTTAAGTGGAGTGTTTTACGGTGTCATGATAAGCACACCGTGTTATAGAATTCATAATACCTATAATTCATAGTGCCTCTACATTTTTCACAAGCATTGTACAGAATGTACAGCATAATTGTAAATCAGATAATCCTGTTCTGGCCCAGTATGAGCCTGTGTATCTTGACAGAGGTAATAAAACCGCCATTCAGGACCGCTGAAAAACACATTTCTCACATTATAGGTAAGAACAGGTTTTTTAGTCAGTACTTTTTTTCTGTTCTCTTATTGGAGTTATGAAAAAGTTATAATGAAAATGCTTTGATTTTAGATAGATAGACAGACAGACCACTTTTTTTCCACTGACCTCTTTATTTCTCTCGCATAGTATCTCTTATCATATCCAGCAGCTGCATCACATTTACTGCTGAGCTTCTCCATGTCTTGTGTCTTTTGCCAGGATTGTCAAAACAATTCACTCATTTGAGGAAAACAGTGGGATATCCATACTTTCATGGTGTTCTGTGGTTAAAAGAGCTCTGAGGGAAAAAAAAAACAGTACAGAGCTACAGTATTGTCCCAGTGACCTTAAAGAAAACTGTGGATGTTACTCAACAATTTCATGAAAAATGACTGGCGATAGTGGGTTTTGGCTTATCTGAATGAAGATTCATCAATATTTCTAGGTCACTAATCAAATAAAATTGATTGTGAATGTCTTTAAACAGATGGTCAGATGTTCTTGCTTCCAATGAAGCTCAAGATGCTCTTTGGTTTATTCTCGAACATAGCTTGCCATTTAAAGCAGCCTCTTACTCTTTTCTTATCATCCATATTTTGAACTGGATGTTTATTTTTGTCGTTTTGAATCAATCAAATTACTTTTCCACATGTGTCTCATTGCCATTGTGGGAGGACTGCTGTCTCTGCTCTGTTTGTGTGTGTATGTGTGTGTGTGTGTGTGTTTAGTCTTTGCTCAAGTCAGTGGAATAATATGTGCGTGTTGATAGCTGTTATTAATCGCCGGCACTGGGTAAAGCAGTTTTGAGAAGATCTCCACTGCACCGCCTGCATGCTTTCCAGTGTTTCCTGGAAGCCGAATGGAGAGAACAGTAGTTTTGTCTTGAGACTTCGATAAGCCATGAATTTGTTGATTCATTTATATTTCACAAGACAATCACAGAAAAAAGAACTTCATCGCCATCTTGTTACTCCATTAATCCCAAGCCTTATTTTAAGCCATAAGTAAACAATACAAGTTTAATCAACAAAAAGTGAATGATTTTAACATGGAAAACATGGCAAATTGTGCTTTCAACCACATTGTAAATTGGGCTTTTAACTGTGTTGCCATTACCTATTAGTAATTTAAGGGGAGAGTTCACCCAAAAATCAAAAAATAAATAAAAATGATAATATACCCAATCTTTATGTCAGTGGAAAATCTTTTTTCTGTGTCCAAAACAACTCTGGACCCTATTGACTTTCATTGTATTGACAAAATATAGCACTGAGACATTTTTCAAATGATTTATTTTGTGTTCCACAGAAGAAATAAAGATAGATTTGGATGTAAACGTGTTAGAATTTTGGGTGACCTATCCATTTAAAAATAAAAATAAGTAGAGGAATATCTAGAGAAAATAAATAAAAGCAAGCCATTGACTAAATTGTTATCTGGTTAAAGGACAAGTTCTGTATTTTACACTTAAAGCCCTGTTTTAAGATCGTTTCTGATGAAATAGAAGTGTGTGAATATCAGTGAACACCCCAGACCACTCGGTGAGTTTCACGTCTTTGGAAACTTAAGTTGAATGTGTTTTATGAAGGATTGTTCCAGTGCACCTACAGTATGCAACCATTGTGGAGGTGGGGGGGTGCAACCACAGAAACCAAAAATTCTCAGGCCAACAGCATATGTCCAAATTTCAATCATAACCGTTCTATTTCATCAGAAACAATCTTAAAACAGGGCTTTAAGTGTAAAATACAGAACTTGTCCTTTAAGATAAAATATTGAACATGAAGAAGCATTTATTGCATATTGCTTTGTCACATTGTATCTTTTTTGGACACAGTGTCGGCAGATCTCATGGGCTTCCTACCTATCTGTTGACCATGTTAGTTTTGCATGTGAAGCTGAAGTTGATTTGTAAGTTGTTCTAGATAAGGCCATCTGCTAAATGCCTTAAACATACACATAATTGAATGTTGCAAAAACGTGTTAGCGATCTCTGGCTTCTTTCTGGCACAGGGACCCGTGTCTTTTCCGGAACACTCTCAATGTATTTCCGAGGACTGAATAAGAAACATATGGAGGAACCCAAACAGTCTGCTGTGATAGGTCTCATGTTTTTGTCTATATGGCAGATTTTTTTTTTAATGCCCGGTTTTCTCTGCCTCATCTGTGGCATTATTCACATTTTCAATCATTTGTCAATGCTGTAAATGATGCTGTAAACCCTGGTTGAAGAAAATTATACTACCGTTCAAAAGTTTGGGGGTTTTAAGATTTTCAGCCTCACACAAGCTACATTTATTTGATCAAAAAAATACATTCATATTGTGAAATGTTATTACAATTGGTAACACTTTACAATAAGGTTTTATTTGTTAATATTAGTTATTGTGGTAATATGAACTAACCATGAGCAATTGTCATGATTTTGTTTCTTGTAGCCTACTTGTTGTCGTTGTAGCTACAAACACTACATAGAACTGAGCTTGGAAATAGTGCAGATCTGCTGGTTGCTTTTTTTTTGCTATAAATACTGCTAAAATGCTATCAAGACGATTCCATTGTTACATGCACTCATGCATGTTTATCTTTGTTACCCATATAAGTTTTAAGATTTCACACAGTACATTTGTATTCCCTAAAAATACTCCATGCAACATGAGGTAGCGTGTTTGGCCTCTTCAACGTTTTTAAAGGGTTAGTTCACCCAAAAATGAAAATTAAGTCATTAATTACTCACCCCATGCTGTACCAACCTCGTAAGACCTTCATTTATCTTCGAATTCAATCCCTTAGGCAGCCTATGTAGCAGTGATCCACCTCTCAGATTTAATCAAAAATATCTTCATTTGTGTTCCGAAGATGAATGAAGGTCTTCCGGGGTTGGTACAGCATAGGGGTGAGTAATTAATGACTTAATTTTCATTTTTGGGTGAACTAACCCTTTAACTTTTTTCTCTCAGACACTGAAGCCAGTGTATGAAAGTTTCTTTACAAAGAGTGTGAATGCATAATGAAGCAAGATTTTTTTGCTTATATTGATGTTGATAATATGTGTTTCATGTGTTGTACTGAGACTTCAACCTTCAACCTGTCCTTTAACCTTTTTTCCAGGCCTATATATATGACACACGGAGCAGCAACTTTCTCCATAAGCTCCAGAGACACTCCGAAACGGTCCTAAATGTGGCTTTCAACCCTGCAAATCCAGAGGTAAACAATATCTCATTAAACGATAACTCTACTGAAACAATACCAGTTCTTACAAAGCAGCTAGTGTTAAAGTTTTAGTGCATTTTAGGCTTTGGTTTAATGCCTCCAATTTCATTTATTCAGTGTGTGAATAGCCAAGACTTAAATTATAACAAAACTGTTTTTGTTCATGACTTGGGCTCAATTAATTACACTGTAAAAAAGAAATGATCAATACGTTATTACAACATGTTTTTACATTGCTTTAACTTAAAAAAAATTAAGTCAGTTTAATATAATTTAAGTTGAAATAATGACATTTCATTGATTGTACTTAAAAAGTTAAGGCGGCAACTTTATTTTACAGTGTATAGGACTTAAAGGGTTAGTTCACCCAAAAATGAAAATTCTGTCAGTTTTAATCACCCTCATGTTGTACCGACCCCGTAAGACCTTCGTTCATCTTCGGAACATGAATTAAGATATTTTTGATGAAATCTGAGAGCTGGATCAGTCCTGCATACTAGTCCATAGGCTTCTTGAGGAATTGAAACTTGCCGGCCTCGAAAAGTTATTAAAGACATCGTTAAAATAGTCCAAGTGACTACAGTGGCTCAATCTTAACTTTATCAAGTGACGAGAACATTTTTTGTGCGCAAAAACAAACAAAAATAATGACTTTATTTCGACTATTCATCTCCTTCTCTATGCGCCTCTAGTCAGTTAATGTAGTGTAATTGCGTAGAGCTGCGTCACACGTACGCTCACTATTGGACGATGCTGGTTATGTGTGTGATGCGTGTGACGTACAATAACAGAAGCTTACGCTACTAAACTAGTAACCTGTCTCAAAGCAGAGAGAGAAGTAAATGAATAGTTGAAATAAAAGTTGTGATTTTTGTTGTTTTTTGCGCACCAAGTGTTCTCGTCGTTTGATAAAGTTAAGATTGAGCCACTTTAGTCACTTGGACTATTTTAACGATGTCTTTAATAACTTTTCGAGGCCAGCAAGTTTCAATTCCTCAAGAAGCCTATGGACTAGTATGCAGGAGTGATCCAGCTCAGATTTCATCAAAAATATCTTAATTTGTGTTCCGAAGATGAACGAAGGTCTTACGGGGTTGGAACAACATGAGGGTGAGTAAATACTGACAGAATTTTCATTTTTGGGTTGAACTATCCCTTTAATTATAAGAATTAAAAAGTAATAGGCAAGGACTGTAGAACATTTTTTACCTTTACTTTTGCTTTGTCTGCAGGCTTGGTTTTTACTATTGTTGTGTATTCTGGAATGCTTCCCAACAAAGCATGCATGCTATTCTTAATTAGAATTAAGATGCGGTCACATTAGCAGATTTTTCCCTGCAAAAAAGGTCCATTGTCAATAGTGAAGTACACAAAGTTGCCTTCTTTCACGGAAAATTTGTGAGACAAACTTGAACCCAAAGTTATATCTGCGTGAGGAAATGAGATATTCCTAGTGGATTCGTGTTGAAATGACTGGAATTGTTTGTGTGTATTTGTTTTTTTTGTTTTTTTTTGTACTGTAGGCCAACTCTTGAATTTTGCTTCTAACCACAAAGACTATAAATGACAGAAAGATTATTTTTTCAAATACCTCATGACATAGATTACAATAACATAACAAGGTATGAAGAAGAATCTCTTCGACTACTGAATGAGATTCTTTTATTACAGCCTTTCTCGTTGAGTGCTGCTGAATATGTTTTACAGTGTGTGTTTTGTCCCGCTGCCTTACTGTGGGACATATGAGAAACCCCATCTTCCTTTCACCGTTAAATGAATCCACAGAAAAAGCTTCCACAGGGGGGTTTCACGCAGCGAATCAAAGGTTGTGTGGGGAGATCGCTCTTAGACACACCACGAGCCTCTACACCCCTCGCTCGGTCCAGTGTGTCCTCACCTCAGTCCCCGGCCTCCACAACTCAACACGTCACTCAAATGGGCCTGTTACAGCCATCATACTGCTGTTTTAATAAACAGAGTCCTCATATCGAATGTTAGTCAAATACACTCCAAAAAATATCAGTTTCATTGTCATGTTCACATGAATGATTTTGCCAACTGTGCTAAAGGTATGTTTTGAGGAAAGATCTGAGATAAATGTTTTTTTCCCTTGTGTATGGCGGGCTGTGAATCAAATATATGTACTCTGCTAAGGTTATTACTTTAGGCACAAGAGAGCTCTAACAAAAGTTTTTTTTGTGTTGCCATTTAAAGCACAATAGGTTTAAAAGTCCAGTGAGTATAAGAAATATGGATTGAGAAATCCAGAGAGGTTATGGAAGCAGTGAAAGATCCTTTCTCATGTATTGTGATGTACATTCAAGTGAAACATATTATTGAAAAGAAGAAATGTAGGCTGGAGACTTGGTTCAATCCATCGGTTGCTGTTTGGATGAAGGCAGACCTGAATGCGAGCTTGCAGTTGATTTTAAGAAAGGGTTGGGGTTTTATGCAGACAAAATGATTGGAGAAGTCCAGCGTAATAGTTATTTCACTGGTAAATTGAGTTTTTTTTGTTTTGATTTAATTACAGGATTTAAAAAACATACATGGATGAATAGTTCACAATAAGATCCATAACATGCAGGAAATAGATAGTGAAATTCCATTTAATGTCAACTTAAAAAAAAGAGTTCACTGAAGATTTTTAATGAAAATGAATCAGGACTGCGGTTTTGATGTTTCAAAAAGGATCCAAAACACAAGGATCACAATTCTGACTTTATATCACGCAATTCTGACTTCGCAATTATCTTTTAAAATGGTTTATTCTGAGATTGAAACAAGCTTTCATTCAAAACCACCATAAAAGTAATCCATACGACTGTCTTCTGAAATAATATAATATCTTTGTGTGACAAATATATTTAAATGAAGTCGTTATTTCAGTTGTATTCCTCATTCGTAGTGATGTAATTCAGGAAAGAAATATTGACGGACTCACTAACCGTTTTTGATCAGCGGTATAGATACGAACATGCTGTAACCTTGGACAGTGGAACGTAGGGAGGAATGAGTGGTAATTTACAGGGCTGTAAAATGTATACTTTGGTTTAGTGCTACAGGACGTTTTTGCGAGGGAAAGTGTGATTCATGCATTGCAAATGTGTGGGATTTATAAAGCGATCTGGAGTGAGCTCAGCATGTGCTCACATCTCTGATTCTCTGGGCCATGAGAGAGAGACGTGATCGGCAGGGAGATCTTCCTTGTTGGGGAATTGATGCTCGGTCATCATCTGGTCAGTATATCAACCGAAGAGCTGAAGCTGTCTGAAGTCTTGCCTTGTCTTTGGCCCTTGAGCAAATGATCCTCTGAAAGACTTTTGTGCTTTCCATTAAGGGATTCGGTGCATTGAAACCCCTGGGCTGTGACATCTTTGGCAGACAAACTCTAGTGATTTAAACAATCAGATCAAATTCTTTACCAGCATTTACATATTTTAATTTACACAAATTTTCTGTTAAAATAATGGAATGTTTCTTAATCTTGGATAGTTCAGATTGATCTCAGAGACCCTGAAACGCCACAATTACAGTACATTAATTTCATTGATAACTATTGGATATAAATCAAACCATTTGATGTCTGCGAGCAAAAGATGCTAGAGTATAGCTCAGAAGTAACTTGTTTTAAAGTTTTTTTTTTTGCACTGGTTCCTAAATGATTCCAAGATGTTTTAGTGACTAAATGAAGCCAGTTGTTCTAGCATAACCACAGGAGTTAAACCATGGACAGGTATTCTTCTGTCCTTTTTTGTGTAAAAAATTTTGCCTGTGCATTAAAAAAAAATGCTACATATATTTTATCTAATGCAGTGCCATTAATGCATTTATTTATTTGTTTGAAAGGATAGCTCACTCAAAAAAAAAAAAAAAAATAGAAAATTCTGTTGTAATTCACTTACCATCATGTCTTTGTTTCACATATATGCTGTTATATTTGTTCTGTGAAACAGATAAAAGGTTTGGGGGAAATAATCTAATATGCACTACTTTTCAAAGGGTATGGTGGGTGTTCATCTGATATTCACCAAGGCTGCATTTATTTGATCAAAAATAGTACAAATATTGTGAAGTACTATTACAATCCAAAATAACTGTTTTCTATTAAAATATATTTTAAAATGTAATTTATTCCAGATGGTAAAGGTGAATTTTCAGCAGTCATTACCAGTCATTACTAATCATTCTGTTATACTTCTATATGACCCCAAACTCTTTATCGGTAGTGTACATATATGTAATATAATAAAGGTAATATCAATATGCAGTTCATTCATAGTAATTAAGTTAATATCAATATGCAGTTCATAGTGAGCAGAGCATTTTTGAAGCTATACAACAGTTTTGTTTGATTAGCAGGCCAAAATGTCATTTATTGTTCTTCACTGATAATCAAATCATGTCTCAATAATGCACACAAGTCGGATTAACTACTTTTTTATTGTTTTCACGGTGCCTTTTTGAAGCTTTTTGTTATGGAAAAGATATGTGAAGATTTTTTTTGTGTTCCAGAGAAAAGAGTTATCATATTTAAGTTGACCGCATAAGTGTAAGTACTGTAAATAATGACATAATTTGGATTTCAGGAATTTTTAAAGTTTAAAATCAAATCATGAGCTAATCATACAAGTGCCCAAATAGCGGTTTTTGGACTTTTTTTTTTTTTTTATAGCCAATCTTTTCCACTCTGGCTGACTTGCGTCTTGACTTCCTGACCCATGTGCCTTAGCTCAGCTCCTTTATCATGACTTCAACTCTTGTCACAACTTCCCAAAATGTGACTTGCACTCAGACTGACACCTTTTGGATCCCCAGCACTAGTTGTGGTGCCAGTACTTCTGCTCCACAACTAAACTATCTGTCGTCTCCAGAGCATTCCTTATCAGAGCGGAAAAAAATGTTTCTGTTTATGAATAAGAAATGGGGAATATCTGAGGGATGAGCAGTCGTAAAAATAGAATAACATACAAGCTACATCTTGTTAGTTCATG